CTCTCGACTGGCAGGTAACGGAGCGAATGCTGCGGAGAAGCAGGTGGCCCTACAGATGGCGGATAACTTCATTGAACAAATGAACTACCCCAGGATGAAAACACAGGTAGTGCTCGTGCCTCTTAAATTAAACACAACATCTAATGCTTACTATAAATGTTAATATAGCTGCTCTCAAAGTGGATCAACCAGCTTGTTATGCTTTTAAAGAATTATTAACACCTCTGTAAAGTGCACTGACTGCAACGTCTTTATGTGAGCAATAAGCAGTAAAGGTTTATGTTCCCTGTGCTGCAGGTGGAGATACTGCCACAAGGGAAGGAGACCATCATATTCAAGCAGTTCTTCAAGAACTGGAACTAAACATTTCACGCAAACACTTGACAAATCCTGCACTCGATTAGAAGAAGCTGCACATCTGACAAACAGACAACATCTGATACAAAATACATATATATTTGTAAGGTACCGTGCTGATGGAGCACACTGTAGCTTGTTTCAGACTTTTATATATGCAAACAAGTGTCTTCTGGTGAGATTATAAAGACATAAAGAGATATATAAGAAAACCTTAGGGTAAATGAGTTTGGATTGGGTTTTTTTTTACATTTGTTCTAGTGTCACAGGTTTTCCTGCATTTGAAAAATAAATCTGAATCTACTTGTAGAGGAAGTGGTTTGATTTTCTTTCTTCCTGTCAACACATGTTGCCGGGGGTTTCAGGTTTACTTTGAAATGTGCTGAGGCATGAACACTGTTTAAACTATGCCCTCTGTAGTCACGAAAGTTACCTGCACACAGTAACATAATCATTCATTTTAATTATGTTACATAGTAGTCTTGTTTACTTTTACTTTTTTGGTCTACAGACTATGATGCAATGATATAGATTAAATTACCCAACAGTATATAAAGTTGTTCCGATTAGCTCCACCTCGATTACTACATCAGTAAATGCTGCGTACTATTGATGCATGAGAAATAATAATCAAATAATGTATACATGTTAAATATTTCACTCACAGGGGCCATTCAAACAGAGTACTTTGTGCTGAACGTAACATACGTTTTGAATGACTTTTACTTGTAATTAAGTATTTTTCACTTCAAAGTATTTGACACTGTTGAGTTGCTACTTCTACTTAAGTAAAGGATCTAAATAATTCTTCCACTGACAGTAAGTTCAGTCTGGATGAACAATTTACATCAGTAGTAAAACATTTTTAAATTAATGTTAAACTTACTATTAAGAACAAAAAACAAACACTGCTCCAGGTTAAAGCACAGTGGTTCATTGGTTGCACTAGATTAGTGAAATTATGTTACATTTCATTCATTTGGCAGATGGTTTTGTCCAAAGCTACTTCCCTTTTCCCTTATAAACAAATATCTGAAGCAACTTGGAGTTCAGTGCTTTGCTCATGGACACAAGAGAACCACGCAGTGAGAGAACCGCATGATGATTTTGGCTAAATTCAGTCCAGTTAAATGATCCCACTCAAAGAACAATTGGTAGCGTTATAATTTAGAAATGTTTTTGTAGTTTTGATATGTTTTGAAAAGTGGGACAATTGGCTGCAACACTTGCAGGATTCTGACTTGGTCCAAAAATTTTAAATAAACAAATAAAAAATGTTTTCCCTTAATTGCCCTTAATTTTAATAAAAATGTTTTCCCTTAATTTTAATAAAAATGTTTTCCCTTAATTTTAATAAAATTGTTTTCCTTCTTTTAAATCAAAGCTTAAACTATTGCCTTTCTTCACTTATTATATTCTTTTTAACTTATTTTGCTTTTATTTTATTCTTTTAAATTCTCTGCATTACTGAAAAATAGTGAATGTGTTGCGTGGATAATTCGAATCGCTGTGGAGAGTTGTGTCAGGACTCTGGGTTTGCCTTTACTTTTTGTATATCAGCAAATTTATTGATCATGTGGTGATCACTAAGACGATAAAATCATTCCCCAATCAGGAGGCCTGGATGGATGGAGATGGGGCTCTATCCAGAACCAGAAAAGGCTGCTTTTCGGTTGGGTGACAAAGAAGCTTACAGCACCGCTAGAGCGAGACTGAAAGCTGGCATCAAGAAGGCAAAGCGGAGACATCAGCAGAGACTGGAGAGAGCTCAACACATACAACACCAAAGATATGTGGCAGGTCATCAAAAACATCACAGGCTACAAAAGCAGGAGCTCCCCTATCATGTGTGAGGCCAAATTACCAGATGAATTTAACACCTTTTATGCTCGCTTTGATCTCCTCAACGAGGAGTCAGCTGTAAAGTCTACTCCTCCTCCAGAGGACCGGCCACTGTCAGTATCCACAGCAGATGTGTGTGAGTGAATATGAGTAAATCAGCTGGGCCTGAAAACATTCCTGGCCGTGTACTAAAAACCTGCCAATCAGCTAGTTGATGTTATTACTGACATTTTCAACATCTCACTGTCTCAGGAGAGGTTTCCCACCTGCTTCAAGACAGCCACCATCCTTCCTGTACCTAAAAAGTCTGCAGTGTCTAGTCTGAACGACTACCGCCCTGTGGCTCTCACCCTCATTCTGATGAAGTGGTTTGAGAAATTCAGCACATTAAAAACAACGTCCCAGCCAGCCTGGACCCTCACCAGTTTGCTTTCAGAACAAACATATCCACAGAGGATGCATCTCCACTGCCCTTTACTCAGCTCTCACACAAAAAAAACAACACCTACATCAGGATGCTGTTTGTGGATTTCAGATCAGCATTCAATACAATCTCCTCCATGAAGCTGATCGGCAAACTCAGCACTCTGGGTTTAAATACAACACTCTGCAACTGGATATTGGACTTACTCACAAACAGACCCCAGTCAGTTCAGATTAGCGGACTCACCTCCTCTACTCTAGTGCTCAACACCGGAGCCACCCAGGGCTGTATGCTCAGCCCCCTCCTGTTCACACTGTAAACCCACGACTGCATCCCCAACATGGAGAGAACTCTGTTGTGAAGTTTGCAGATGACACCACCACCGGATTTCAAACAATGATGAGAATTTATCTCGGGAGGAAATTCATAATCCTGTACAGTGGTGCTCAGAGAACAACCTACTGCTCAACGTCAGCAAAACTAAGGAGCTAATCATTGATTTTAGGTAGAAAGAAATAAAGACACACACTCCTGTCTACATCAGTGGTGCTGAGGTGAAGTCAGTGAACAGTTTCAGGTTCCTGGGAATCAGCATCACAGAGTACCTGACATGTTCGTCTCACATCTCCACGCTGGTGAAGAAAGCTCAGAAACGACTGTATTTCTTGAGGAAGCTTAAGAAGGCCAAATTCTCGTGCCAAGTTCTTGTCAGCTTTTACAGAGGAGCAATATAAAGCATCCTGACTGGAAACATCACTAACTGGCATGGGATGTGCACGGCCCAGGACTGGAGGGCTCTGCAGCGGGTGATTAAAACTGCTCAGAAGATCATTGGTACCCATCTCCCGAGCATCAGTGATCTCAGTGAGGTGAGGTGCCTACGCAGAGCCCAAAGGATACTAAAGGACAGTACCCACCCAGCCACAGCCTGTTCACCCTGCTGCCTTCTGGGAAGAGATATAGAAGTTTCTGCTGCCGCACCACCAGACTGCAGAGCAGCTTTTCCCCCAAGCTATCAGACTCTTAAACTCTAATTCATCCTCAGCACTGCTCCAGTGATAATAGTTTACTTCTGTTACCATTTTTTAAAATTGATTCTTTATTAATATTTATTGTCTGCTATGAAGCAGACGGGAGTTACAAAACTCAATTTCACTCTATAACTTGTTACGTTGTGACAGTAAACCTACCTACCTATCTTGCATAATGCCCTAATGTAACTTTCAGTTGCCTTGTCCTTTAAAAGTGCTACAGCTTAATGCTGCAACTGCATGCTCATAAGACTCCAGCTGACTTAAACATTCATGTTACTGCTGCTTTAACTGCCACCAAATGTAATAAATGGTCCAGTGTGATGTATTTATGGCCTATTAGTCTGATGAATCCAGGTCAAAAAGAGCAGGATGGTGAAGGAGCATGTGGGCTAGGAGCATGAAGTAACAGTTTTACTCTGACCTGTCTTCTTGTAGCTGATCAGAAAGTAAACAGGTAAACATGTAAAGTTTAAAACGGCAAGCATTTTGTTTGAATCCTGCTTTCAAACCACTACTTTCTCTCTCTCTCTCTACGTTATATGATTTTATTTGACCGTTATTGAACCAGGATTGTCTCTCTTATCTTGAAAATATGACTTGCATTTAATAAAGTCCTGGTCAAAATTTGAGTAAATTACTGTGAGTCACAAAACCAGAATCAAGAGAAATTAAGCAAAAGTGGAGAATGTCTAAAAGGCATGGTGTTAAAACATAACTAAAAATGTGTGCTTTAAAACTGCCCCCAGACGATCACTTTTATAATAATTTACACTTGAAATAAGATAATGATCAAACCTTTCTTATGGGTCTGTCCTTTTACCTCCTCCTCCCATTCAACGTCCAGAATGGACAAATTTCAGATCAATATTTTATGACAGTTTATGTTGGAGAGGAGATAAGACTGATTACATTAAATAACAATAAACAAAAATTAGGCTACTTCCAGTCATTATTATGTAGCAAAGATATACAACTGTTATTGGCATGAAGTGTTACGTAAAAGCAGTGGTACATGTGGTAAGATATTGCAAATGTGCTTCACAGATCATGTTTACACCTTAAGGCCTCTTGAACTATGTTACACAGTAATTGAAGTCTATTATATATTCATCTGTTTTAAAAACCCTCACACTGCCAGTCATAGCTCAGCTCCCACTATATATAAATATATTAGCAACAACCTTGTTTTAAAGGCGTTCATCAAAATCAAAGCATGTGCGTCACTCTGCGTGATATCCAGATAACTGTGACGCCTTTTGCCCTTACTGTAAACGTACCAGCAGCTGCTGGGAAGCTGAGAGGATTTCGTGTCAGAGAGCTCTGCGGAAAGTTTCCCTTGCCAACTCAGAGACCATAAAAAAGTCCAAAGATCAAGGAGACGCAGGGAGGAACAAATACTCTGATTAGAGCGCAGTGGCTGTCCATTCTTCTCCACCAGCAAAGCTGCACCAACGCTCCCTCAGACTAAAGGTAGGTAACCTACGACGAAATTAATAAGCAAATTTAAAGCTTGAATCACATCTGCATGCTACATTTACATAAATATTCTGTTACTCAACATATTGTAGCTGTTTCATGTTTCCACTGAAATATGATATTTTGAGTTTTCTTAATAAAGAGAATGTAAATCTTGCAATATTTAAAAAATAGCAACACATTAATGAATCGGTGAAAATAATCCAATAACACAATTAATAGTATAAAACTCACAGGGGCCACTTCTCTTAATTTTGAATACTTCTACTTTTGATACTTAAAGCACATTTTGCTCATATTCCTTACAAGTTTACAGTTTCAGTGCAGGACTTTTACTTGTTAACGGAGTATTTTTATATCGCTTCTTTTACTTCTTCCACGACTGTTAACCAAACATTAAATTAATGTGTTCTGCGCTCCACAGGAGTGAGGACACCAACATGGAGATGAAGAGCATAATGAAAACTGATAAAAGTAGGTTTTTATGAATACTATTCTATCACTGCCTAAGAATGCCACCTTCTGCTAATAAGGCTAATCATTTGTTCACCTTTGTTGGCTATTTGGAAGTATCAATACCTGATATTATGTTGATTAACTTCCTTTTCCCCTCACTGTCTGCTGGACGTTTTTGTTGTGTAAAGTGATATTAACCTAGACTCAAAAGTCCCACCATGTTTAATCCAGAATCTCACCCCCTCCCCGTAGGGGTAAGGATACTGCTGAAGGCGGAGGACAGCAGCACCACCCAGAGCAGCTCTATCGGGGCCGTACGCTGGAGCCTGCCTGAGGAGAGCGTCCAGGCTCACAGCTCAGCCCCCAGCAGACCCGGCGCCACCAGCAGCCTCACCAAACACTCACAGGTACGAAAAAACATCGATGAGGTTTTACCTTGAGGTTGAGGTCATTTTCTTTTTTAATGTATGGATGTATGGTTTTTTATGGCTTTTGGACTGTAGGAATACACATTTAAATTTGACCTGTTGTGTTTTCTGCAGCAACATCCACGCCAGAACGGCCTGAAGGACCTGCGCAGCCTGCAGGAGTGTGTGCAGTTCATCAATCACTGGAAGGAGCAAGTGGACCAAGTCTGCAAGGTAGGACATCAAGGAAGGAGGGAAAAGATAGAACGCACACGTCAATGTTATTACACATTAACAGCAGCCGGTGAAAATTCGTTAGTGCAACAAACAGGCAACACAGAAACTACAGTGTGTGACTGAATGTGTTGCATGCGAACTGTAGACTTGAGGAACAAGATAAGGAAGTGGTGATGTTATAGGTTTGCTTGGCCACATTTTAAGAGGCCACTGTAGGACGTTTGCCAGCTCAGGAAATAAGCTGACAAAATACATGAGCGCCTTTTTCATTCTGACAGGAAAATTTGAAAACGGGCTCATGTGATCGATCATTTCACCCTGTTTCTCAGAGTTTCACCCTCACTGCTCTCCCACAAGATTCAATGCCTTATTCTGTGCATACTGACTTCAGGGATTGATAAGCGTTGCTACAGGAGACAATTATTGTTGCCCGTTCATGCAGTGATGACTGAGTTAATTGGGTGGGTGGAGACTGATACGATGCGCGTTTATTGACTCTTTTACAGCCCAGTTACATGAACCTCTGCATTGAGACACGGGGCAGGGACATGTATGGTGGGCATCAACACTTACTGTAAGAAGTGCATTAATCTTTTTACAAGGGGCTTATATGACCTGGCCCTTTTGACATCTGTAAATGGAAAACCTTCCACATGACTTATTTAACGCAGATATAGCTGCAGGTGATAACCTCTGAAACACAGGTGGTGTCAATATAAACAATCAGTGCCCGGATTTCCATGCATTACTGTCAACATGAGGTGGCTGTTATCTGTCCATCTAGTTGTCATAATAATGCACAATTTATGTTTTAAACAGTGTAGGATGTTGTCTGACAGTGTATGGTGTGTTGTTTTCGCAGGGCAGTGGCGATCCAGAGGAGGGCACCAGTAAGAAAGAGGGTTCAGACCTGCGTACTGAGCGCAGTCTTGAGCAGAGCAGGAAACTGATCCTGGAGTGGGCTGACGAACTCCACCATGTCGACAAGGTCGGTACGCGGCTACGCGCATGGGTGATGCGAGAGTATTGGGGTGCTTAAAGAGACTATACTGTAACTATCAATTACAGATCGCAGGTGCCATCTTTGTAAAAGCTTTAGTTGTGAAAGAAAATGTATTCTAAAATAAAAACAAAACAAAAACACCAATCTTAACTTACTGATTTTGCGCCCTCAGCTCCTGAAGGAGACCCCCTGGGCATCTGAGAGTCAAGAACATGAAAATAAAGAAGATAAGGATGCTGAGGATAACGAGAAGGCACAACTGAGGATCATGGAATGGGCAACGGAGCTGCAGAAGGCGACTGAGGTGAGGAATAGCTACTAAACCTAAAAGCGAAAGTCCAAATATAACCTGTGGAAAAGTTTCAGTTCTCGTTATTGTCAACAGAAATGAACATTTACCAAGTGTGGCTCAGTTAAGAATCGTAAGGGCTTTGTCTGTTTTTTATAAAACTCCAGTAGGACAGAGTTTATGGCAGCACATGAAGGAAAATAACATTGTTTACTCTCAGGCCAGGAAACGTTTTGTCAGATGTTTTCTTTTAAGGAGAAAACAGTGCCAAATCTTGAAATGAATATTTATGTTTGCAGAATTGTGGTGTGCAGAGCGACGAGTTGGGTAAAGTGTTGCGTCTGCTGGGCCTGAAGAAGAAACGGCTGGTCAACCTGCTGCCTCTGCTGGAGTTCATCACCTGGTCTCTGCTCAAAGAAGACAGCACGGTGAGGAAGCGCTGAGTCACACAAATTAATATTTCTACAAAATCGACTATTCTACACATATAATATTATACGACTATGAAATACTACTATAACTAGGTCAGTTGTATCTAGAATAAAACAATAAAGGTATACATCCCAAGGTAAACCATAAAATTGTGTAACAACTTGGGCTCCTCAGAGGTCAAAATGAAAAAGACACCATTGTTAAGTCTCTTGAATTCAAAGATAAACATTTTAATTGCTCTGAAAGCGCACAAATAAACCATCATTTAGATGTTAAAATAAAGTATTGGCTTGAACTCAAAAATCTAAACAGAGACAAGGCTCACTGCCACACAGTGCAGACATTACCGGGTTATGAAACGGCTTTATGTAACATGTGATTTGAGTGAACCATGCTCTTTGAATGCGTGCTGAGCATCAATAAATGAAGTGCAGGACTTTTACAGTGATTCAGTTTATATCCCTGACCTGCCTCTGATAAACTGATAAGCAACTATATTAATATCCTCGATAACTGTGTAAACTCATCACATCTGCAGATGATGCTGTGGTTTATATAGCAATGTTCTCAATTTAAACTCTGCTTTGGTTTTACTTTAATTCATGTGGAGTTAAGGCATGCATACTTATGCGACTTTCAGCAGTTTGTGCAATAACAATAAACTGGTCTTTGCTCTGAGGAGAAAGAGTTTCCTGGAAGGTTCACACAGTATATACAAGATTTACTGCTCATGATTATATTTGCAAAGCGCATGGTGATAAAGGAAGGCAGTATCAGGAATCACCACGTGAAAATGCTGTTGAGAGGCAACCTCTCTTCATTTTATCTTTCTTTTCCTTTTCAGATGATGATTCCACAGTTATGGTTACTGGCAAAGCAAAGGACCTGGAAAGCTGGAATTCCAAGATACATCCCCAACTCAGGTGTGCATTGTTAAAGTTAGATGCAACTGATGTCTTAATCTATGCTTTTTTTAAGCTTTAAGTGTCACTGATTTGCCCAAAGTAGAAGAACAATTAAAGCTCATAACTTTTTGTTATTTACACCAGTGGTTCCCAACCACAAAGTAATTTTTTGTATAAGAATATTTTTTGTCCAATTTCCCATCCTGGTAATTGTCTCACACTTTAGATCTATTTTGTGACCCTTGTCCCAACCCCTGGAATCACTGGTTTAGACCATGTGCAATAAAAATTTCCATTGTTTATCCACTGCAACTTTAATATAAGGTCCGTGTCTCTATTTTCAGTTTGGAGTTGGATTTGCAGCGCAGCAGGTAAGATCGATCTCAACTTTGTTAATCTTATCTCACATCGAACAGACAAGAAGCAAACATCACATTCACAGTACGTAAAAGCTCAATTGTGCCGACACTCTCTCTTTGTCCTATCAGCTGATGTGGTTCTTGACTCCATGACCAACCACCCCTGGCTGCTGCTGTCAGACGACCAGCGTATGGTTCAGGAGGGCCTCTCACCGTCCGACCTGCCTTTCAGCTCCCAGCGCTTTGACAGTTGGCCCTGCGTGTTGGGATGGGAGGGCTACAGCAGCGGCCGCCACTACTGGGAGGTGGACATAGCCAACAACGGATACTGGCGTGTGGGAATGACCACTGCCGACTCAAAGCGTCAAGGCCGGTTCCCCATGACCCCAAAGCACAGATACTGGGCCCTGTGGCGCAGCACGAACCAGTTCCAAGTCTGCACCAAGCCGGAGACACTGCTGCCCATCGACCTCGTGCCTCGACGCCTGGGTATCTACTTGGACTATGAAGAAGGCCAGATCTCCTTCTACAACGCAGAAACAAAGTCCCACATCTACACCTTCACTGGAACCTTCAAAGGGAAGCTGTACCCTCTGTTCGCCCCGCTGGATGGACGCACACTCATTAGAATCATCCCACCACATAAAATCTCAGTAAACTGAGAGATGAACCTTAACAACTCTTGTTGGACACTTGGAAGAATTCACCAAAAAATACAGAAAACTAAATTTGCACAAAGATGATTTTTTTAAAGGTAGTGTCATCAGTTATAGTTGGAAATTTATTGAAAAGCACAAGCTCTGACTTTCACATGAATGTGCCTTCACTAAATGTTACTTTACATATATTTGTCAATTTCTCTTTGAATGGAATTTAAAATCTCTTCAGTTTAAAACTGGCTTTGAATGGATAGCCACATGAACACAGTGCTAAATTATACTGTTAATAGAGAAGGTTAATAGATGTACCTGATTATAGTTTTGACCTCGAGAAACACAAACTTTGAAAACTCAACTTTGAGTAAAAACTAAAATATTTATTTAAAGATAAAATTTTCAAAAAACACCATATTTGTGTCGACATGCACATTGCTGCGACTCCTCTTTTCACCATGTGTGTTGAACGAATTTTTTAATTTTAGCAATGGAAAGATACATCTTGTCTTTTTTGAGAGTTGCACATGCACACTTCCTAGTTAAGGACAAGTAGCCAATCAGAAGCAGAGAAGGGCAGGTTAGTGGGAAGCCGGTAAACAACATGGACTGGAGCAAGAGTTTCAGAGTGGTGAGTTATTAATCTGTAACAAAAGTATATAGTACAAAAGTGTTTTTGGGGGCGTGTCGGACTAGCCACTTGGCGAGCGTTACATGACGAGCATTTTGAAGCGGCTGGACTACAAACGAGCTGTTTTCAGAGAGTTCAGAGCAGGGTTTTCTGTGGGAGATAGGAACTCCCTTTGGGCTGGCTTTCACTTTGCAAACCTATTACATGCATAAAAAAGGTTTATAACTCAATAAAGGAGAGGGGAAAAGGCAAAAAGCTTAACAACACCTCTTTTAAAAAATGTTTTTTTTAAAGAATAAGCTAGGTTGAGTCTGTCACAAAATAAAGCGAACAGCTGTATACTGTGTATATTGAAAAATGTCACTCAGATATCTACAACATTAAGATTTATGTGTAGAAATGTCTGCATCTACTTACAAGCACACACTTTATAATGCACCATCAGATATGCACAAATGTTTTACATGCATATCATGTTTTTGATACTGTACTTATCTTTGATATATTCCCCACAAAAATTTCACAATCTGAGAGAAAAATCTTCTTTGTTTCCCACACATCAACTGTATGTATCTTTACATTTGTAAAGCTCTTCAATAAAGGTATTTTGACACACATTTCCCTCAATTCTTCCTGCACGTTGTACATAAAGAAATATAACGTGTGTGCTGCCTGTCAGGAGTTTCTCTTACAAGCCCAGGGTCCATAAGCCTTACAGTTGTCAGCGAAGAGACGCCCACCTCCCCTCAGGTCGGCACAGTCCCTATGATCAACATCCCACTCCACCATCACACTTCAAAACACACACACACACACACACACACACACACACAAGAGGAAGGACACCTCACAACATAGTAATAAAATGTGTATTCAATATATGAGTGAAATACTTAGATGTAGAAAGATACAATTTTACATACAAGTTGTATGTATGTCAATGTATAAACTGTGTGTCTATGTATTTATATGTATTATATTGTTGCAATAAAAGCAAACTAAAACTTTACAAGGTGTGTGTGTTAATTTTCAAGGAAATCAAATACATACATATTATGGTTCTATTAGTCTCTAGTCTCAGCTTTTATTTTAAAATTTCATTATTACATTTTTTGGTAACTTTTATTTTACAGGTCCGTGGTTTTTAAGAATTTCCTAGGATGTTTCCTTGGAATAATTATGTAATTTAAAACTAATTTAAGTAAAATACTGTAGATGCATAGATTTCAATTGGTACACTTCTTCGCCCCAAAAGTGTTTTTTTGTTGTATAGTTTGAAAAGCCCTTTAAGGCAAATTTGTCATTTGACGTCAATGTTCAAAATCAAGTTGATAAAGGTTTTAATTAAAGATCACAAAAAGCTTATAGAAAGCTGTGGCTATCAAAGCAGCAGGTTTAAGTTTTTGTTTTAATTACTTTTTTGATGTGTTGGACTTTTACCAGACAGAGCTCTTGCAGTTAAATCTACATCTGTGATTGAGTCAATGTGAACTAAATCTTCAACTTCACAAAGTTACCATCTTTGCAGAATCTTTGATCCCACTGAAACCGAAAACTGTGTAAAATAAAGTAAAATCTATCAAATGTATTATCTTATATTTATAGATACCAAATAATAACAAACACAAAAGAAGACCAGGATTGTGGTTGCCATAGCAACGGCAATATGAGCTGTAAGCTGACACGTTGGACAGCATCCTGCATCAACGCAAAAACAATCAAGAACGCCATTGCATCACTTATTGAGATACTTTTCAACAGCATGTCACATTCTTCGGGTTAATATAGATTCAAATCCTCTAAATGTGGAGAATCAGGGAAAATGTTTACCAATGATTAATCCACATATTCATTTTAAAGTATTTTATGATTTTTTCACCTTTTGGCTCTTCAAGATAAAACAGTGAAAGTAAACTTGGGACTTTGAAATCAGAAGAAACTGTATTGTTGTAACTGCAACATCAGTTGGCAAGTTAACCAGTATAAGAGTCATCAATAAAGTGTATTTTTAAAGTTCTCTCTTTGGTTATATAAAATAAAATTACACAAAAGTGTAGTTTAAAGGAGATGCTCTTTGTAACTAACCTGCAGGTGTTTCCCTCTCAACCTCTTCCTCTTGGTTTCTCAAATCCATCTTTGATGCTCTTTGTTGTTTTACTTCGTTTCACAAGTTTGTTATTTACACCTTTCAGCATTTAACTGAAAAAACTGCGACCAGCCCACCTCTTCCTCATATTACGTCAGTTCTCTTCAGCATGGAAGCTCAAAATAGTACTACATGTGTAATTCGAATTATTGCCGCATTTTCTTTCAAACTAATTTGGTTGCAGATGTAAGATTTTGATACAGTTGGTCCTTCAGGCATACAGGCGTAGAGGCAGCTCTGTGTGGGAGAGTGCATCATCCAGTCACCAAAATACTTAATACCTTATGCACTACTATTATTTAACCACAGTCCTTGGAGGAAGCAGTAATTCTCAGTCCACCTTTCACAAACATCAGTATTAGTGTAACAGTATTGAATCTTCTGTTCAATGGAGGCTTTAAAAAAGGTCACCGTGATGTGTAGTCAGCTGGAAAACTTTACTGAACACAGAAACAAGATCTTTTTATTTATTAACAGACATTTGGATGACCCACTTCCACCAGAAAAAAAGGATTAAAAGTAAAACATGATTCAAACTAAAATTATTACGTTAAGCTAATTTGACTTCTATCTTGTAAGTTTGTGAACATGTGTTTATTATTATTCTTTCTTATAATTTTGATTTACATAGGATTCTTTTTACCACACTAACTATTTTTATCGCGACTTCCATCTTTGAGTGAGCTGTACAACACCAAAAAACATTTGGGTTAATTTAAATTCTGAATACAATACATTTTAAGAATTGTACCGTTTTAAAAATCACAAGATAAAATTCCTCTCAATTCTTCTGACTTAATATCACACACAGCAGCTTAATATTTGATTTCCTGGACAGAAGTAGGTTGCAGCATATAACAAAAGCTTTTAACATGAACACATTTCCAAAAAAAGAACACAAGCTAGAAATCATTAGTGTAAAGTACCTCTACCAATACACTAAGTAACTAATTGAAAAAGAAAACATTAAATGTCTTAGTTTTCACTTTTCTGCTGCTCGAGATGCCAGACAATCCTGTCCCCCCAGTTGGTGGTGAAATGTTTTTTCAGCTGCAACACAACACATGCAAATAAAGAAAACTGTTAATGGACATACAGCTTTGTACCAACTTTATATTTAAAACATAAAACTGAGCCATTCCTTAACTATGGGATTAGAACAGTCTCACATGTATTCACAAACAAATGTCAAGATCTGTAACATGCAAAATGCACACATACATGTAGAGTGATTTGTATCTGTAAATCTGGATTTGTGCCTCTTAATTTACAACCTGTATCATCATTTGTGATGTACAAATGATTTTTATATACAAATCACTCTGGGACAGATCCAGATCTACGGATACAAATCTCAAACACTTGTGCACTGTGTTTTACAGACACAAGTAATGCGATATTTTCACAATTTGGGGATTTTGTGTGAAACAACACGGCAGAAGAGTCTCAAAACAATCCACACAAATAGGTGGAGATTTATAAATATATTACCATTGAAAAATACTAAGTTGATTGATATACAGATACAAATCACTCATTGTGCATTGTTTTAAGAGTTACGTTTTTCTACATTTATTTGCCAACACTTATGAGACTGTTCTATTCTATACCTACCACACATACAAATGTTCAAAGAATTACTGAACATCTCCAAATTATTTCTAGTGTATTTCGTAGAATAAAAATATCACCTTTTGCTCCCAAACCCTGTATTTGTTTTTGTCCATGTGGTGACACACATACCTGTTGAAAAACCATTTCCCTTGTGGTGCTTTTATCACAGTAGAGACGTTCTGCTGAGGAGCACAACATAGACAGACTGACTGTCTTACTCACTGGAACTGGGGAACAAACAGAGAGTGTGTAAAGAGGAAGCTAGAACAAGGAAGCACACTCTCATTCATGCTGTAAAATCTTCATGTGGACAAATAAATAATGTCCACTGTCTTCAGACACTGCTAGCAAATAATTCTCAGTTTGTTTTGTCACCTAAATGACCAGTTATACACACACAGTATGGATGTCCAAATAATTTCCTTTAATTTATTTGGCATTTTTCCACTACAAATGTCGTTGACATTACTGCTTAAAAACTTAACATGCATTTCTAGATATATTTGTTAGGGTGATTTTATGCCTAATCTTGTATTTCTCTGCGCAGTTTGATTTGGTTCATTTGTGCTGGTGTGAAACTGTCAAACTCAAACAGACTGAGAATGTGTGAAAAGGGGATCCAAACCTGCATGGCCCTGTGTGAATAAGCGATGGCCCCCTAAACCTTATAACTGGTCGGGCCACCCTGAGCAGCAACAATCGCAATCAAGTGTTTAAGGTAACTTTTACAGCACTTTGGAGGAATTGTGGCCCCCTCCTCATCTTTGCCGAATTGTTTTAATTCAGCCACGTTGGAGGGTTTGAGCCTTAACTGCTTTTTTAAAGGTCATGCCTCAACATCTCAATCAGATTCAGGTCAGGACTTTGACCAGGCCACTCTATAGTCTTCATTTTGCTTTTCTTAAGCCATTCAGAGGTGGACTTGCTGGTGTGTTCTGGATCATTGTCCTGCTGCAGAATCCAGGTGCACTTCAGCTTGACGTCACAAACAGATGGCCGGACACTCCCCTTCAGGATTTTTTGGTAGACAGCAGAATTCATGGTTCCATTTACCACAGCAAGTCTTCCAGGTCCTGAAGCAGCAAAACAGCTGCTGTGACCTCTTGGATGAGTCGTCGCTGCGCTCTTGGGCTAATTTTGGTCAGCCGGCCACTCCTGGGAAAGTTCACCACTCATCCATGTTTTCACCATTTGTGCATAATGGCTCTCACTGTGGTTCTCTGGACTCCCAAAGCTTTAAAAATGGCTTTACAACCTTTTCCAAACTGATAAATCTCAATTACTCTGTTTCTCATATGTTCCTGAATTTCTTACAGCATGTCATCTAACTTTTGAGAATATTTTGGTCAACTTCACTTTGTCAGGCAGGTCCTATAAGTGATTTCTTGTTTGAGAACAGGTGTGGCAGTAATCAGGCCTGGGTGTGGCAAGAGAAATTGAACTCAGCTTTCCAAAGATAAACCACAGTTCATTTATGTTTTAACGGGGGGGCAATCACTTTTTCACACAGGGCCATGTAGGTTTGGACCCCCCCTCCCCCCCCCTTAATAATAAAAACCTTAATTTAAAAACTGCATTTTATATTTACTTGTGTTATCTTTGTCTACTATTTGAATTTGTTTGATGATCTGAAACATTTCATTGTGACAAACATGTAAACAAAATAAGAAATCAGGAAGGAGGCAAACACTTTCCTCACACCACTGTACAACATTAAATCTTAGTGATATGATTAATCAATTAACTCAACTTGGATACAGATAAGTGGCAGAAAAAGGATGGATTAACTAATTTTTTTAAATTTAAGTTGTTAAAATTTACACTTGAGACAGTGAACTTCCTACAGTAGCTGCTGTTTTCTAATGATGCTGACAGAACCTCTACAGAAAAGACTGAACCGTCTCCAGCAGCATAGAGTCACTTGTAGTTTATAGATGTAGGGCGTCTCCTAGCAGCCCGCAACCACATCTACTACTACATACTGTACATACACAAAAGCTAGAGTTACTGCCTTGTGAGAGAAGTGAAAAATAGTTTCTTCCAAGATCTGCAACACTCTAGTTTATAGTAGATTTATGATTTTAACATGAATTCAAAAGATAATAACTATTAAATCCATCTAAATAAGCAGCATACTGTGTGTGTTATGGTGTATAATATAGAAAGTAAAAAGAAATTAAAACAGAAGCATGTTAATCTTGTTGCTGTGATACAAAAATACTTGACTTGCCACAGATAGATCAGTATTGGCGTGTAAATGTCAACTGAGAAGTAGAAATGACAGTAGAGAAACGCTAAAGAGACAGTATGTTTGAGGTTGGTTTTTTTTAAATGTCTCACTCACTCCATTACCATGGTCACGTTCCTAAATAACCAAGTTTAATGGATCTCAGATCTGTGTTGTGTGTTTCTGTTCAAAAACAGTCAATGTACAATATTGTTGCAAGCAGGTGCTCCTCTTATAAATGTTTGCTGCATTAAAGGAAGCTCCATAAGCTCGCAGATTTAAGAGTTTGCTGCCAAACTGCAACCTTCACACAACTTGTGAACACCATGCTTTTGAAGTACCTCCTCTCAAACCTCACACGTTGGGAGTTTTCTTAAATGCACCAAAGTATTTTTTCTCATTTTTTTCTTTGCCAGTTTCAAGTGAAACTGACAGCTGCCTGAAAGTAAAAACAGAAACCCCCTAGCAACGTATGGTATTCTTAGAAAAATGTGACAGCAAAGTAAAGTATGCACAGTTTGTTACTGTTACAGTTTGAAAGCAGAGTCTTTTAGGTCTGAGAGTCTCACCTGTAGAATATGACGCACTTGTTGGATCACTTGACAAGTCATGGGCCACTGATTTCACTGTAAAGTTGTACTTGGTCCCTGACTTCAAGTTACTAAATGTGTAGCTGGTTTGGTCATTCAAAAGATGAGACTCGGTGGAGACCCAGAAGCTGGAGTCGATTGTGACACTGTAGTTGACTGTATGTGAGTTGACAGGAGCTTTCCAACTGAATGTGATGCTTTTATTGCTGGAAGTGGCTGTGATATCAGTAGGTGGCGATGGCACTGAAATAAAAGTGAAGAGAGAGAAAATGAGGCGGTGATTCATCAGAGTATCTTTCAGTCTTTTTTGGTCGGCATTTTTCAGCTGCCTTCAGAGTACTTAAACTTTGTGATAAACTTTCTATATGGTAGTTTTCATAGTTAGTGGTAGAGTCTGCAATCCCCTGCAGGGTTCAAATTGGCTTTACATGAACGATGGTTTCACAGTAAACTATGCAGCACTTATTCCAATGGTATTCTTTATCTCACTGACATCAGCCTCACTGTTTACTGTTACTAATGCTAACCGAACATTTCCTACTCCTTCACATTAAAAGTGTTCAACTGGCAAAACACAAGACAACATATTTTTAAATATTGCTGAACGTAACAGAACAAGAAGCAGCGGCACAGTGAGCTGTTAGATGATTTGCTCCTGGTATGATGGAAAAAGACTGATTACTGTCCGACCTGATTATCAAAACAACATGAGTTTGTTTGGCTGCACTGTAAGCAGACGCACCAGCTGATCTCCTGTTGTATTTCTGACAAAGTAGCTGCTTAAGGAGCGTTTGCTCTAGTATTAAAACACACTTGCTGTTACCACATGTGTTACCAAATCAACCACATCGGGATTATAATTACACACAAACAGGGAAAATACAACAGGGGCAAAGTGACTCACAGGTGAACTTGGAGAGAGTCACTGGGGTGCTGCTGAGATTTCCACCAACGCTGTAGACAGTGACTGTGTATTTGGCTGCAGCCGTCAGGTTGTGAAAGTACATCCGAGGTGTTTCGCTGGTTGTTGTATTAAGAGTTTGGCCATCCAGCTGGAGCACAATCTTGAACGATGAATAATTACCCACAGGAGGGTCCCAGTTGGCATTGAGGGAGACATTTGTTGGGACCAAATTCAGGTTTGAAATTGGATTAGGAGCTATGTAGGAATCACAAAATCAGATTGATGACATTAAACACAGCAGGACATAGTTTCTGTTCTGTTTACATGAATCATGGATTTTTCTACTGATCAACATCTAGCAGTCGACGACTACACCCAGAGTTACCAGTGTGGTTGACGGTGGTCACATAGTCTCCTTCCTCCGTGTCATTGACCATTGCTGCCACACTGAGGGTTATCTTGGTGCCCGCTGGCAGGTTTGTTACATTCACATTTGTTTGCTTCACCGTGCAATTATCAAACATACTGTTAGGAAGAGAAACAATTACTTTAGTCAAACTGCTGCTGGCAGAAGAAACTGTGCATCTCCAGAGTGACTAGTTGCCAGAAATTAAAAGAAAATGTTTACATTACAACTTGAGTTTGCGTAGTTTGGGACATCATTCCTATTCTAATGAGAAACATGAGCAGTCAGGTGATGATACAGGTTTTAAACAAACCCCAGGTTAGAGAGACTTATTTGGAAAAGAAGAGCAAAAGGTAAAAATATCCATCACACTTTACATAACGACTCCCTGGTTCAACTTTAAACTACTAAAGGAATTTTTCTTTGCAAATTTTAGGTGGTTTAACTTTCAGTTTTACCTTCAAGTAAAGGGGTTTGGATGATGGTTAAATACTTATTTACAATATGTCTGACTACTTGTGTTTCTCACTCTTTAGGATTTTGTTGCAGCAGTGTTGTTGTGTTCCCAAATCTCAGCAAGATCATCAAAACAGATGCCCAAACTACAAAAACAGGAGCCAAATTTTGAGGCCTGCGGAAGTCAGACATTAAGGCAGAAAGAAGACAAATTGGCCGTCAAATTCACACGTTTACCACCTGGACAGTCTGTGCCCGCACTTAGGGACAGCGACAAATACGTACTAATTACTGTCATTCACAGCCTTCACTTTGTAACTTGTGGCGTTTCCTATAGGTGGTGCCCATGTAAGCTGTAGCGAGTTGTTGGTAATATCAGACACCTGCAGGTTGGACACTTTGGAGGGCTCTGAAAGAGAGAAAGAAGATAACTATGAAACAGACGCAACATCACTGTTTACAGACAACGACTCCAGTTACAATCTCACAGGCGTCAGATGTGGCTCTAATTTGCCTTTGCTGATTTAAATTTCATATTATATGAGCAAGAAATGACCAGCTGGAAACTTCTTCCTCATTTAAACCTGAACAAGCTTTTGATGTGCTTTCACTGGTCTCCACCACGCAGTGTACTTCCTGTTAAAATGCTCTAACATTTAAAAACATATATAAAGTTTAAATAAGTTGAAACACACATCTTACTGAGCTACATCAGTGATTACAGTTATTTTATGTTAGTAAGGTTTTATGTGATATAAACTCACTGGTGTATTTCATGATGTTGAATCCTTCACTCCGTTGGGACTTGTCCTCAACCTCTGAGGTGACAGTGAATGTGTAAAAAGTTTCCAGGTATCAAACTGTTGACTGTGTAACTTGTTAGATTGGTCTGAATGTTCTGATTCTTCTCTCCCTGGACATTAATAATATAGGAAACCGTTCCCCCATCTGGTTTGTCCCAGCTCAGGGAGACAGAGGTTTCTGTCACCATTTTGACGTTGAGGATTTCGACTTTGTTAGGTACTGAAAAAAAAGGAGAGATAAAATCAGGGTTACAAGCAAAGTGTTTGCTTTATTACTAGTCTGTGTATTAATTTATCAGTGTATATTTTAAAATGTAAAACAAGGCTGGTAATTTAAAAATAATCTGCATGACAACTGGATTATGAAAACAGTGCACATCGTACACACTGTTGTTTAATTTATTATTTAACTTAACCAGAGAGACAACTTTTTTCCATTTTCTTCCTGTTTTCCTTATTTACCATAAAATTATGAAAATGGAGATCAGTGTCCTCTTACAGAAGGAAAAAAATTGTTTTGTATCCATGAAATCTGGATAAAAATCATGGATGATATAATTCATGTTGGTCTGTATATGTCTTGTTGAAAATGTGTAAAAAGTGAATATTACACTACTACACCACTAAATAAGTTTCCTTTTGTCAATTGTCTATATTTCGATTTGTCAAATATATGTAATAAAAAATATTTTTGAGTATGTTCACATACTTCTCTTTTCTCTTGTAAAACATTAAGTTATTTTTGATGACTCATTCTGAGCTCAGTGGTATCTACATTATCTAATAAAACTAACTAATCCTTCTCATCATATAAAACTACATGTGCCCTTTAGCTCATAGGCTGCAGTAGCTAGCAAACAAAATTATATATTTTTAACATCTACTCAACAACTAGTAGTCATTGTTTAACCCAGAGTTACCAGTGTAGTTGACGGTGGTCACATAGTCTCCTTCCTCCGTGTCATTGACCAGTGCTGCCACACTGAGGGTTATCTTGGTGCCCGCTGGCAGGTTTGTTACTGTCACATTTGTTTGCTTCTCCGTGCAATTATCAAACATACTGTTAGTAAGAGAAACAATTACTTTAGTCAAACTGCTGCTGGCAGAAGAAAATGTGCATCTCCAGAGTGACTAGTTGCCAGAAATTAAAAGAAAATTTTTACATTGCTAACCTGCTGATGTTTAACAGGTATGATGCTAACGATGTTCATCATCTTAGTTCAGCTTGTTAGCATGCTTACATTTGCTAATTAGCACTAAACATTGCCATACTTAGAGCCAGCCCGGCTTAAGACAGACATCCCTTTAAATATACCTGAATTTATATAAGTAAATAAATTATTATCAATATAAATCTATCCACAATACGTACTGATTACTGTCATTCACAGCCTTCACTTGTAACTTGTGGCGTTTCCTATAGGTGGTGCCCATGTAAGCTGTAGCGAGGTGGTGGTAATATTAGACACCCGCAGGTTGGACACTTTGGAGGGCTCTGAAAGAGAGAAAGAAGATAACTATGAAACAGACGCAACATCACTGTTTACAGACAACAGCAAGTGTTGTAGTATAACCAGCAGTATATCATTAATGTGTAAGGTGATTTTGGGGGCACTATATTGTGTAAGTGTGAAGTTATTGAATATCTCTGCAGAATGTGTTTTCGGTGTTGCACTTTGTAGACGGTCCCTGCGCACTCCTCTCACAGCCGGCTGCACGTAGAGACCAATGTCATTTGTTCTGCTCCTAGGAAGACTCATTTATGTGAAAATGTACTTGTAGCTCGTTGTCTACTTAACTACGATAATAAAGAGGCGTCGTTTGTGTTTTAAACACGTTTTGCTTACGAGTTATTGATCCCGGAAGCTCAAATCTGTGAATCTGTTTCCAACTTTACTGAACTCAGTAATAAATGGCACCTTTCCAGTCATCCCTAATTACGAGATCTTTTCTCATAATAACGAGATCTTTTCTCATAATTACGACATCCTGATCTCGTAATTATGAGATAAGGCTTCCTATTTTTTTTTCTTTGGTGAATGCAATGCGCTTCCGTATGCAGCTCCTCTTTTCACCCTGTGTTGAAGGCTTTGTTTTTGGTTTTATTAGCTATGGAGTGAAACATCTTGCCTCTACATGATCTTTGTTGGGAGTTGCACATGCAGATCCTAGTTAAGAACTACAAGCCAATCAGAAGCAGAGTAGGGTGGGCTGTGAGAAGCTGGTAAACAGACTTAGGTTCTGCTGGATATGTTTCCCTTACCAGCTTAGCAACATTGACTGGAGCAAGAGTTTCAGAGTGGTGAGCTATTTATCTGTAACAAACGTATCTTTCATCCATAAATTTATAACTGAGCTCTGAGCTCTACATCACAGTAACAACTTTGTGTCCATTGACTGCCTGGAGGGTAGCTTGTGTTTGGAAGGGAGGTGAGAGGCAGCAGGCGGACGTCTTTTCACTGTGTGCTGCAGCTCAGTGTGTTTTTCCACTGGTGTTTTTAAGGGCATGTCTGACTAGCTGCTGGGCGAGCATTATGACGCCTGTTTCGCTGTGATGTGACAAGAAAGTGGAAGAAAAGGCTGGACTAAAACGAGCTGTTTTCAGGCAGTTCAGAGCAAGTTTTCTGTGGGAGATGGGAACTCCCTTTGAGGTGGACTTTGGCTTTTTCACTTTGCAAACCTATTAAATGCACAATAAAGATATATAACTCAATAAAGGAGAGGGAAAAAGGCAAACAGCATAATATGACCCCTTTAAATAAGTTGAAACACACATCTTACTGAGCTACATCAGTGATTACAGTTATTTTATGTTAGTAAGGTTTTATGTGATATAAACTCACTGGTGTATTTCATGATGTTGAATCCTTCGCTCCGTTGGGACTTGTCCTCAACCTCTGAGGTGACAGTGAATGTGTAAAGGTTTCCAGGTATCAAACTGTTGACTGTGTAACTTGTTAGATTGGTCTGAATGTTCTGATTCTTCTCTCCCTGGACATTAATAATATAGGAAACCGTTCCCCCAGCTGGTTTGTCCCAGCTCAGGGAGACAGAGGTTTCTGTCACCATTGTGACGTTGAGGATTTCAACTTTGTTAGGTACTGAAAAAAAGGAGAGATAAAATCAGGGTTACAAGCAAAGTATTTGCTACATTACTAATCTGTGTATTAATTTATCAGTGTATATTTTAAAATGTAAAACAAGGCTGGTAATTTAAAATAATCTGCATGACAACTGGATTATGAAAACAGTGCACATCGTACACACTGTTGTTTAATTTATTATTTAACTTAACCAGAGAGACAACTTTTTTCCATTTTCTTCCTGTTTTCTCTTTCTTGTTTACCATAAATAGTGGAGATCAGTGTCCTCTTACAGCAGAAAATAAACAAGGTTTGATACATGACATCTGGATAACAATGATGTACAGTATCTCCCAAAAGTGAGTACAACCCCCACATTTTTGTAAATAGTTGTTTATCTCTTTTCATGTGACAACACTGCAGAAATGACACTTTGCTACAATGTAAAGTAGTGAGTGTGGAGCTTGTATAGCTGTAAATTTGCTGTCCCCTCAAAATAATACATCACACAGCCGTTAATGTCTAAACCGCTGGCAAAAGTGAGTACACCCCTAATGGAAAATGTCCAAAATGGACAAATTGCTCTTCACTTCTAGCTACTAAATAAATTTCCCTTTGTTAATTGTCAGCATGCCAATTGACAAATACTTTTAAAAAAACATTTGAGTGTTTTTATGTTCACATACTTCTCTTTTAAAACTTTAAATTATTTTTTATTACTCATCCTAAACTCAGAGGCATCTACATTTATCTAATCAAACTGCCTAATTCTATATCATAAATCCACACTTGACCTTTAGCTCGTAGGTCGCAGCATCTAGCAAACAAAATTATAGAGTAAATAATTTTTATTTAATATTAATCTACCAAAAAATGTATGTGAAATCCCTAATTTATAAATTATTTATTTATTTATTCTCTTACTAATGCTAACCGAACATTTCCTACTCCTTCACATTAAAAGTGTAGAACTGGCAAAACACAAGACAACATATTTTTAAATATTGCTGAACGTAACAGAACAAGAAGCAGCGGCACAGTGAGCTGTTAGATGATTTGCTCCTGGTATGATGGAAAAAGACTGATTACTGTGAGACCTGATTATCAAAACAACATGAGTTTGTTTGGCTGCACTGTAAGCGGACGCACCAGCTGATCTCCTGTTGTATTTCTAACAAAGTAGCTGCTTAAGGAGCGTTTGCTCTAGTATTAAAACACACTTGCTGTTACCACACGTGTCGCCAAATCAACCACATAGGGATTATAATAACACACAAACAGGGAAAATACAACAGGGGCAAAGTGACTCACAGGTGAACTTGGAGAGAGTCACTGGGGTGCTGCTGAGATTTCCACCAACGCTGTAGACAGTGACTGTGTATTTGACTGCAGCCGTCAGGTTGTCAAAGTACATCCGAGGTGTTTCGCTGTTTTTTGTATTAAGAGTTTGGCCATCCAGCTGGAGCACAATCTTGAACGATGAATAATTACCCACAGGAGGGTCCCAGTTGGCATTGAGGGAGACATTTGTTGGGACCAAATTCAGGTTTGAAATTGGATTAGGAGCTATGTAGGAATCACAAAATCAGATTGATGACATTAAACACAGCAGGACATAGTTTCTGTTCTGTTTACATGAATCATGGATTTTTCTACTGATCAACATCTAGCAGTCGACGACTACACCCAGAGTTACCAGTGTAGTTGACGGTGGTCACATAGTCTCCTTCCTCCGTGTCATTGACCATTGCTGCCACACTGAGGGTTATCTTGGTGCCCGCTGGCAGGTTTGTTACATTCACATTTGTTTGCTTCACCGTGCAATTATCAAACATACTGTTAGGAAGAGAAACAATTACTTTAGTCAAACTGCTGCTGGCAGAAGAAACTGTGCATCTCCAGAGTGACTAGTTGCCAGAAATTAAAAGAAAATGTTTACATTACAACTTGAGTTTGCGTAGTTTGGGACATCATTCCTATTCTAATGAGAAACATGAGCAGTCAGGTGATGATACAGGTTTTAAACAAACCCCAGGTTAGAGAGACTTATTTGGAAAAGAAGAGCAAAAGGTAAAAATATCCATCACACTTTACATAACGACTCCCTGGTTCAACTTTAAACTACTAAAGGAATTTTTCTTTGCAACATTTTAGGTGCACTAACTTTCAGTTTTACCTTCAAGTAAAGGGGTTTGGATGATGGTTAAATACTTATTTACAATATGTCTGACTACTTGTGTTTCTCACTCTTTAGGATTTTGTTGCAGCAGTGTTGTTGTGTTCCCAAATCTCAGCAAGATCATCAAAACAGATGCCCAAACTACAAAAACAGGAGCCAAATTTTGAGGCCTGCGGAAGTCAGACATTAAGGCAGAAAGAAGACAAATTGGCCGTCAAATTCACATGTTTACCACCTGGACAGTCTGTGCCCGCACTTAGGGACAGCGACAAATACGTACTAATTACTGTCATTCACAGCCTTCACTTTGTAACTTGTGGCGTTTCCTATAGGTGGTGCCCATGTAAGCAGCAGCGAGGTGTTGGTAATATCAGACACCTGCAGGTTGGACACTTTGGAGGGCTCTGAAAGAGAGAAAGAAGATAACTATGAAACAGACGCAACATCACTGTTTACAGACAACGACTCCAGTTACAATCTCACAGGCGTCAGATGTGGCTCTAATTTGCCTTTGCTGATTTAAATTTCATATTATATGAGCAAGAAATGACCAGCTGGAAACTTCTTCCTCATTTAAACCTGAACAAGCTTTTGATGTGCTTTCACTGGTCTCCACCACGCAGTGTACTTCCTGTTAAAATGCTCTAACATTTAAAAACATATATAAAGTTTAAATAAGTTGAAACACACATCTTACTGAGCTATATCAGTGATTACAGTTATTTTATGTTAGTAAGGTTTTATGTGATATAAACTCACTGGTGTATTTCGTGATGTTGAATCCTTCACTCAGGCTCCCCCACCACCATGTACACAAGATAGTCGGTTGACACGGATGGATGGATAGATGGATTCGTCACTCCGTTGGGACTTGTCCTCAACCTCTGAGGTGACAGTGAATGTGTAAAGTTTCCAGGTATCAAACTGTTGACTGTGTAACTTGTTAGATTGGTCTGAATGTTCTGATTCTTCTCTCCCTGGACATTAATAATATAGGAAACCGTTCCCCCAGCTGGTTTGTCCCAGCTCAGGGAGACAGAGGTTTCTGTCACCATTGTGACGTTGAGGATTTCGACTTTGTTAGGTACTGAAAAAAAAGGAGAGATAAAATCAGGGTTACAAGCAAAGTGTTTGCTTTATTACTAGTCTGTGTATTAATTTATCAGTGTATATTTTAAAATGTAAAACAAGGCTGGTAATTTAAAGATAATCTGCATGACAACTGGATTATGAAAACAGTGCACGTCGTACACACTGTTGTTTAATTTATTATTTATTTAACGACTACAGAGACTGCTTTGATCATATAAAGCTACATGTGCCCTTTAGCTCATAGGCTGCAGTAGCTAGCAAACAAAATAATGTATTTTAACATCCGCTCAACAACTAGCAGTCATTGTTTAACCCAGAGTTACCAGTGTAGCTGATGATGGTCACGGTGTTTCCTTCCTCAGTGTCATTGACCAGTGCTGCTACACTGAGGATTATCTTGGTGCCTGCTGGCAGCCCTGTTACTGTCACATTTGTTTGCTTCTCCGTGCTATTATCAAACAACATACTGTTAGGAAGAGAAACAATTACTTTAGTCAAACTGCTGTTAGCAGAAGAAAATGTGCATCTCCAGAGTGACTAGTTGCCAGAAATTAAAAGAAAATATTTACATTACAACTTGAGTCTTTTTTTGCATAATTTAGGACATCATTCCTATTCTAATGCAGCCGCATTGCAATTCAAATGTCAGATGCGGAAGAAACGAGAGCAGTCAGATGATGAAACAGGTTTTAAAGTAGACCTATTATACTACTATGTTGTTGTTCTGTGACTCCTGCATGGCAGCTTTGCATGATTCAAAGTTCAAAAAAATTATTTTCTATCTTATACTGACTCTTCATTTCAGCGTCCTGTCTCTTTAAGGCCCCCCTCTCAAAGCCCACTGCCTTTTGATTGGCCAAGACCTGAAGCATGTTACCAGGCTGTTGTTGCCGCTGAGTGGTACAGACTGAAGCGCGATTTATACTTCCGCGTTGAGTCTAGTCATGCATTTATGCTTGTGTGTCGGTGTGTGCATCGTTTTTGCCCTCCACTAACTTCACTGGGGGTACAATTATATACGTGCAGGTGTAGTCTTTTCAAATGTTATCGACCGAATGGATCACAGTCTGATAGTGAAACGAGTCATTTCGCTCGGGTTGTGAGGCTCACATATATTCATCCACCTTATTACAGCCGCTGATTTGGCCGCTAATAAAATTTACTTCAAAGCACGGGTCACTTCCTGTTGGCTCGGAGGCATTGCGAGGCTACCCAGCTGATCAATCACAGTGCTTACGGTCCACGTCATCCCGACGTGTAGTTATATTTTTGAGAAGGTGCACGTCAGGCTATGCAGAGGCTACGCTGTCGATTCGACACAGAAGTATAAATCACACTTGAGCGTAGCTGTGCGGAGCAAACGACCATATATGGAATACCGTCTCCGTCTAGCTCCGCGTGTCGTCAAACGGAGCCGTTAGTAGAAAAAGATGTTGAAAACAGAGCGTTCACAACAGGAGGAAATCTGAGGTTTTGGCTCACAGGGATTTCTTTTAAACACTTTTACCTCATCATTTGAAGCTTTGGCCATGTTTAACATGAACATCCAACATTGTAACATTGTAGATAAGTCATAAAATTTGGAAAAGCATAATAGATCTCCTTAAAAAAAAAAACAGGTTAGAGAGACTTATTTGGAAAAGAAGAGCAAAAGGTAAAAATATCCATCACACTTTACATAACGACTCCCTGGTTCAAATTTGACCTCCAGAAGGCATTTTTCTTTGTAATGAGGGATTGATTACAACATTTCAGGTGTGTTAACTTTCACAGTTTTACCTCCAAATAAGGGGTTTAGATCATGGTTAGTTGTTGGAAGTGTCAGTACTTGAGAGTCATCTGGGCCAAATGAGCAAATTATTTTATAAATAAAATATTATTTAAAAGTTAGATAAAAGGAAATTGTGTCTAAATTATATATTTCAGCATTTTAAATACAAAGCCTCTTTAAATATATTGTAGTGACTATGAAGATTTCAGCTTTTTAAGACCTTTACGTGAATTCAAAGATTCTAAAATGTTTCTTTGCATTGGTGGTGTTTTAGAATAAAGCTAAACTGTGTTACAGATGTATTTCTATATTCCTGAGTAACAATAAAATTTCAGTTTTTCACATAATTGACCATATGTTGCAACATAAAAGAACAAGACTAAGTGTCTCAAGCCTTGCTAGATGCTCTGCGAGGCTGCACTTAGGGATATCGACAATTTGAATTAAATGCTAACATGAACATGCTAACACGCTCACAATGACAATGCTAACCTGCTGATGAGGTATGATACTTACCATGTTCATCATCTTAGTTCAGCTTGTTAGCATGCTTACATTTGCTAATTAGCACTAAACATTGCCATACTTAGAGCCAGCCCGGCTTAAGACAGACATCCCTTTAAATATACCTGAATTTATATAAGTAAATAAATTATCAATATAAATCTATCCACAAATACGTACTAATTACTGTCATTCACAGCCTTCACTTTGTAACTTGTGGCGTTTCCTATAGGTGGTGCCCATGTAAGCAGCAGCGAGGTGTTGGTAATATCAGACACCCGCAGGTTGGACACTTTGGAGGGCTCTGAAAGAGAGAAAGAAGATAACTATGAAACAGACGCAACATCACTGTTTACAGACAACGACTCCAGTTACAATCTCACAGGCGTCAGATGTGGCTCTAATTTGCCTTTGCTGATTTAAATTTCATATTATATGAGCAAGAAATGACCAGCTGGAAACTTCTTCCTCATTTAAACCTGAACAAGCTTTTGATGTGCTTTCACTGGTCTCCACCACGCAGTGTACTTCCTGTTAAAATGCTCTAACATTTAAAAACATATATAAAGTTTAAATAAGTTGAAACACACATCTTACTGAGCTACATCAGTGATTACAGTTATTTTATGTTAGTAAGGTTTTATGTGATATAAACTCACTGGTGTATTTCGTGATGTTGAATCCTTCACTCCGTTGGGACTTGTCCTCAACCTCTGAGGTGACAGTGAATGTGTAAAGGTTTCCAGGTATCAAACTGTTGACTGTGTAACTTGTTAGATTGGTCTGAATGTTCTGATTCTTCTCTCCCTGGACATTAATAATATAGGAAACCGTTCCCCCAGCTGGTTTGTCCCAGCTCAGGGAGACAGAGGTTTCTGTCACCATTGTGACGTTGAGGATTTCGACTTTGTTAGGTACTGAAAAAATAGGAGAGATAAAATCAGGGTTACGAAACTATAGAGTAAACACAGCGGATCTGTTTGTTGACGCTAACAGTTTTAAATGCATCTAACATTATTAAAACATTATTTTAAAGCAGTTACAAAATAAGAAAACTCACCGGTGTAGAAGGACACCACCTGTGGGTTGAGGTCTCTCTCGCATTTAACGGGGAATACCCGGACTGAGTAGTAGGTGCCTGCTGTCAGGTTGACAAGGTCATAGGTCAAATTTGTCAGATTATAGGTCGGCAGTATGCCGCCTTTAACCTCTAAACGGTAACTGCTAATGTTGCCAGGTCCAGGTAGCCATGTGAGATTAGCGCTCTCTTTAGTCACATAGGTCACGTTGACTTGGCCATGGAAAATATCTGTAGTAGGAAATAAGAAGTGAAGACTGAAGACTGTTGACTAGCAAAGAAGATATCCAGAGAGATTTAAAAAATGCACTGAAAAGGAAAATGGTGCAAAAAAGCGGTGTATAAATCAGAATAAACCAGAGTTCAAATTAGACTATAAATTACTATATTTGTTATCCTCTCGTTTTTAAATTAGTGTGAGGCCAAATCCAGTAAGGATGCATAAGATCGCACAAAATAATTCCCCCCATTGTCCCAGATGTAAAAGCAAAGACAGAACATTTATGCATGTATTAAGGCAGGATGAAAACATGTTAGGGTTAGCTAAACTATTTATTCTTTTAATGAAGCTATGTTAGACACTGAGGTTAATTTTAGTCCTTGCTAGTGTCTTTGAAATTCATTTTGTAACCTTAGAAGTAAAAGTGCTCCTTCAACAATATAATGTTTTTGATCAATAAGTACAATATTAAACATTTCAAGTTCAGTTGTGAGCATTTATCCAGATTTATTCAAATGGTGATGCTGAATGGATTTTGCACTAGATCATTTGTTTTTCTTTTGAGGGTTTGTAGTCTTCATGTGTTTTTCCTTTTTTTATTGTTGAAAGAATCTCATTGCTCAGGAACTTCATTAATATGCTGGATGGATGTATTCAGGCTTTGTTTTGTCACAAACCCTAGTAAGCTGCCTTGTGTGTTTTAATCTGTCGCTTTTGGAGGGTTTTTGGGTAGGTGTGAGTTAGAATGTCGTCATCTGTTTTGAGTTTGTATCTTTTTACATATGGAGGACCAAACATTTCCTGTCAATAAAAACAAGTATATTAATGTAAATCTTATTTATACATTACAGAGACTAACACACAAAAATCTTATTTTTATCTAGATTAAATAACGAAAATAAATCACTCGGCTGAATTAAAAATATAATTTTGAAAAATGGGTCACGTCCTTTAAATCTCACCAAGAATGAGCCTTACAATTAACCTGTTTATATGTTTGCCATAGTGTATATTTTTGATTTGCCCCTCATTTTATTAGTACTCTGCTGTATATATTTTATTCTGTATATTTTTAGTGTATCTTAAAGTTTCTCATCATTGATCATTACCAAAAATAGTTAGTTATAAATAAAATTGTATCTGCAAAACAAGATCTTATTATTATGTGTGGTGAAATTGTGGAGTAATTACTGGGAAGTATTTAATAATAATTAAGAATTTTTTTTAATAAACAATGGGATGGGATAGATTTACTGAGCAACTCAAAACCGTTTACTGCAACATACATTAGTCCGGGGTACAATTCACAGAAGAAAAAAAAAACGTTACAACAACCCTGCACAAGTCCTATATATATTTAAATATAGTAGTTATTTTTCAACTGTGCGAGATCTGAAATCACAGGGGCAACCAACCACAAAGAGGCTTTAAATGAGTCGTACCTTCATAACATATAGAAGGCAGAAGCTCCGAGCAGTTCTTTTCAACCCAAGCCCCAAAGCTGAGCATGGCCACACAAGAGTCTTCAATATAATTTTCATCAATATTAGGGATGTCCGGCAGCATAGGTGATCGATCACATGCTGCTGCTCTTGGCAACGCCGTGGTCATGGGCGCAGAGTTGGTTTCATTAAGTCCACTGGAATTTGTCCAACTTTGGTCTGTGACGCTGGTGAAGCTCGTCATATTTGAGCTTGTGAATTCTGTGAAACCGGTCATGGTAGGGGTTGGCGTCGCTGGGCAGGTGCAGGAGCAGCTGCAGCAGTAGCTTTTCGGTAAGGAGGATTTCAACACAGGCCAGCCAGGATACCAGTTCTGGAAGACGAGGGGATCCCCGTTGGCCCAGCGGGTCCAGCCAGGCCAAGTCATGGTGGTGGAGTTAGTGGTGGAGGAGAAGTTTTTGCGGAGGCCGACCCAGCAGTCAGAGGTGAGTTTCCGGTGGACGCTTTGGATGTTTTGAGGAGTCAGTGTCACCAGGTCTTTGTAACAGGCCTGAAAGTATGCGAAAAGGCTACAGTCAATCTTTTTCAGTAGATCTGGTTTTTGTCCGAGCTGTGATGTTAAGATGGTTTTCTTTAACAATGTAAGCACATTTATAAAATGTATAGGCTGGGATGAAAAAATGGAAATTGTTATTAGAATTCAACCCCAGATGCTCTTAATGTTTTGTCAGTGGTCATTACCAGACCATGGCATGTAGAGTTATTAAGAAAATATATCACTAAGTCTGTCAGTCAGGGCTGATTATTTAACAAAATTGTTAATAAATGAACAGCTGTTGATAAATAAATCCAAACTCTGTTGTATCATTAAATGCTGCTTTAAAGACATGTGCCTTATTAATTAAAAGTCACAACCCAGGGCTCCAGACTGCACACTATGACCACTGACAGGTGAAGTGAATAACGCTGATTATTTTATCATGGCATCTGTCAGTTGTTGGGATATAATTAGGTGAACATATTTTCCTTAAAGTTGATGTGTTAGAAGCAGGAAAAATGGGCAAGCGGAAGGATCTGAGCAACTTTGACAAGGGTAGAATTGTGATAGCTAGAACATCTCCAAAACGGACTGCAGTGGTCAGTACCCATCAAAAGTGGTCCAAAGAACGGACAAATTTTGTGGCCGATGCTCATTGATGCACGTGTGGTCTGATCCAACAGATGAGCAACTGAAGGTCAAACTGCTGAAAAGGTTGATGCTGGTTCTGATAGAAAGGTGTCAGAACACACAGTGCTTCTTGACATTTGTTTTGAGTACATGAATGTGCTAATCCCAAAGTTGTGCCATTAACAGCTTTCTTTATCTTCATGTGTTTTTCAGCAGTTCAACAAGCTGTTGAGGGACATGATTTTCTGGCAACTCAAGAAGCAGGAAAGAAAAACCAAGGAACATAAGGAACATAATGTTTAATTTGTATTGGTGATGGTAATTTAATTGTATTGTACTCTATTATTTTATATGATTTCATAGTTTGCTAATCTCTTATTATAAACCTTGTTGTTTCATGTATGAGCACCGTGTCCTTCAGCTGAGAACATATGGTGATCCTTTGATTCTGCTATCTTTGTGTGATAGTGTTCAAGGTACCTTTCCCAACAGTTGCTGAGTGTCATTGTCGGGTGACTCAGCATAAAAAGGCAGATCATTTATCTCACGATAGATGCAGCTATGAATGGACAGTTGTGCAGTTGGACAGCTGTATATGAATTATGGGTCAAATGTTAGTTTCTAAGGGTTAAGAGAAACAACCCTAAGAGAAACAAATGTTCTGAGGCATGAGACTGTATGACTGAAATACAACTCGTGATTTCCAGCATTCTATCAGCAGACAGGAGGAGAATCAATTTGTAAATTTCTGATTGATATAACGACAAATCTCTGAAAGACCTTTTCTTGTTGAATTCAACAACATTCAAATATTCAATTTGTTATTTTATTGTCATTTGTATTTTCTACATTTTATTTTTTCTCAAGTGTCTCATTTCGGTTTATATTGACTTTACCTACAATTCTTGCAAAAATATTCTATGTATAAATATTGTTTGTTTATGCCACATTCTGTTGAGGTCTACATATTCTTAGACCGATAGATGGAGCAAACTGTCATAAAGGAGGGAGCATTGTGGTGTCGGGTGCGACTGTGTGGCAATGGAAAATGGTTCAGGGGTCAGGTAGGAGGGCTCCTTTGCATAATTTTGCTTAGGGCACCAGGGAATTGCATGTCGATTTAAGTGGTGCTCCTAAATTTTGAGCTTGTGCTCCTAAACGTTTCAGATGAGAGCACCAGTGGAAAAAGTTAATCTGGAGCTCTTTTTGTGCATTTAAACTGAGGTCACGTCGTACCTGGCAGTGGTTCCTGGCATCGGCCCAGCTGAGGTTTTCTGAATGAAAGAAGTACTCTTGCTCTGCAGTGCTGCACACCAACATCAGAGCTGAGACAAAACACACAGACAGGAGGAAAATATATCTAATGTTTGTCAACACAGGTTTCAAGTAATGATCTGGTACTGGTAATGACCTTAATTAGCAGATCAGCCAAACAAGACAAATCCACAATTAACAACATTTAATTACATTTATTACATCACAGCTGACTTAGTTTTTAGTCCCACAGAAGTCCCTCAACTAAGATCACTTGCATAAAGATGAAGGCCACACAATGAGGTGCAATGATTTTGATGATCAGATCAGTAAGTTCCTGTATTTCAGGCACCAGAATTGATATTGTAACTGAAGTCAGCTCAGTGCATTCCTAGTTAACTCTGGTTACTTTCATTAATCTGCCAAATATTGCCATGATTGTTTAGTCTACAAAATAGTGGTGAAAACGTGCCATTATAATTTCTCAGAGCCCACAGTGATCTTTAAATTCCTTGTTTTTTTTCCCCAACCAACTGACCAAAACCCAAATTCATTATGATATAAAACAGCGTATCCTTACATTTGAGTGGTGGGATGAGAGAATGCGTGGTGTTTTTGCTTGCAAATTGACTAAAGCGATCAAAATGCATTGTATAATAATTACAGATAAATTTTCTTTCAATCAACCAATCAATTCTCTACATACAACCCAGTTGTTAGTTTCAGATTGTGAAATTAGCACGCCGCATTATTCTGAAAATATCTCAACAGTAGTAACTTCAGTGAACGACACTAGTTTAGGTTTTCAGTCATAGTTTAGATACAGTTGCAAGTAAACTTCAGATCAATGTATACACACACACAGGCCTACGTATTAGTATATATATTTTTATGAATTATTAAGGGATACCTTTTAATCTTTAACACTTTTGGTGCTGAAACAATTAGTCTATTAACAGAAAATGTTATCAGTTCATTTATCAAGCCAAACTGTGGAGGCTTCCATTTCAGGAATTTGCTCCTTTTCTGTTCGAGATCACTTTAAATTGAAATGTTTTTAGACAGAAATATATCGCTACTCTGTCACTTCACAGGCTGAGCAATCAACCCCCCCCCCAAAAAAATATTTGGCATATTAACCCGATAACACTCATCAGCTGCAGCTTAAACTCTTTTACAGTGACTTTAAAATAATAAGTCTACAGGATACAAATAAATACCGTTGAGAAAGCAGCACTCACCCAAACAAATTAAAATAAAGACTTTATCCTTTTGAGAGTTTCCCATGTTGAGATTTCTGTGGATCCTAAAATCAGGGAATCTTCATTAACATTTCACTGGATGACAGCTACTGCAAAATTTAAATATAAATTAAAAAGTAGAAACCAAAGAAAATACTGTAAACAGAAATTAAGTATAACAAACTACTCAACCAGGCTACACATGCATCCTGTGAGCTGAAAGAGGAAGTGATCTGAGTATGAGGTGTTCATAAAAACCACCTTTTTCATAGGTCAACAGGGAATAAACTGCATATTTGACTGGCAACAAAAAGCTCCCTTCTACTCAGGCAGGACGGACACCTTTAGATGCTCCTGGTTTTGCATCCATCTCCCAAACATGCAAAGTCCTAAATATAAAAGCAGCAAGAGGGTGATGTGGTGCAATAAACTGGCAGGAAACAAACATGCAAAGATAGATATTATGCATGTTGTATAACAGAATACAAGAACACGGTTTAACATTATGCATTTATTTTGGCTTCAAGCTTGGAGTAACAAAACGCAAATTAGTACAAAAAAAGCCATGAAAAAAAACAACAATGAAAAATATAGAAAGATCAACCTCTTATAAAAAAGTATGTTCCCAAAATAAACCATAAAAGATACAGAAATAAAACAAAGAAATGCCTTTTATATTTTTTGGCAGTGTAAAAAAGTGGTTTTACTGACTGATTAGTCGCATCACACTGAAGTGCTGGTTAATTGTGAAATAGCACACAGTCTGCGGCTGGGAGGCAAAACTGGAAACAAAAAAAAAGTGGCTTTTTTTTGTTCCCTTGTTGTAATGTCCCTGTGTGTACCGTTCCTGTGTTTTCATGACACTCCTATTTTTTTTTCCCCCACCTACCAATAATTCCTGCTCTCTGCTATATAAAAAAGTTACAAATACTAAAAGTTGATTAGTTTTTGTGGGTGATCCAGCCAGCCCTTCATCTTTCAAATCTACTGTTAATTTTAACAGAAATCGTGACTATAACATGTTCCCTGCGAGCACAATCATCACCATCCAAGAGGAGGCCTGAATATACAGATCCAAGGAAATTAACAGGGCTAAGATGTATTCACAGCTGTTAGTGATGAAAACAAACCTAAATAAACAGAGAAAAAACAAATTGACATGCAGACAAGCCTGTGCATTCATTAATCTGGCCTTAAATCATTTTTACATCTGGTTTGACAGCAGAACCAGTAAGAGGGTTGCAGAACTTCCTCCTCACAGACAGAGTTTGACAGAATGTAAATGCTATAATTTGCATGGGCTGTGGTACAGTAATACAGCAACCTTAATGGAGGTAAAATATCCATTCAAGTTTTACAAGTTTGCACCTTTTCAAACCCAACGGCAGCGACTCATACAATTATGATCTGTTGGAATCACACGTGTGACAAGAAATCTGACCGAACAGCTTCTTGAGTAATTAAATCTGGGGTAGGCAACTTTTCAGACAGATCCTGAAAAAAAAAAAAAAAAAAAAAAAAGTCATTCAAAAGACAAAGAAACAATTACTTCAGTTTTCATCGACTAAAACTAATTCATTATAAATGACATGTATTGGACATACATTTTTTTAAAATGGCGCCATTAAAATCCCTGCCAAGATTAACACTGTTTAAAATGCAGTCCCTCACAAGTCCCACCCCGAAAAACAAGCAGTAGCAGTACTTAGAGAACAGTGAAGGGTCAGGCAGTACAGGTATTGGATAAAGTTCTGGCGAACTGAGGCAGGCAGTGATTTGGGGTTCCAATAGCTAATATAAACCTGAAATAAACCCGCTGGCTTGGAGGGAGAAAGAGACGAAAGTTGTTTTCTAATGGAAGCTCAAAGCGACGAGCTTCTTAATCACTGTCGCTTCGGTCTCCTCTTTGCAGGAGTCTCTTCCCGCTTGATGGCAGAGGAAGCTCGTGTTTCACAGACACCTTGGTCTTGCTTTTGCTGTGGAGAGAGAAGGCAGGACAAACTCAGTGAGTGAGTCGAGGCAGATGTGACAGATTTGGTTAATTTGGGTGCAGATGTAAACAAAGGTTGTACAATTCTGGAAAAATGTTTAAGAAAAGCTTTACTCAAATCTTTTTGGGGAGCATCTATTCAGTGGGCAAATGAACGGTTCCTTATATTTTGTGTGGCTATAGAGTGTTTACAGGCGTTTGAAGTGCATATGGATTATGGTTGGGTGATGTCGACAATTTTCATCCGACGACGTCTACAATGAAATATCAGGATCGACGATGTCATGGGGTGCGCGGGTGGGCAGCAGTCGCCTTATGTGCATGTGTTCTCGCAGACTTCTCTCACGTAGAGTATTAACTTATGTTACAAGTTGCGGTGGATATTTTACGCATGGCCCAGGTAAAGCAACAGTGAACACGCAGGGTGCAGTTGTTGGTTTCAGTTTGATAGGCTGCATCATTAACAAAGTGAGGCTCAACTACTCCCGTGATAATGAATCGCGGGTGAAAGTCTACGGAAAAAAGACGAGTTCAGTCCTTTAGGCGACTTTATAAAATGGGGGTTTTACAATCACGATGCCGTCTCAACGTCGTTATGTCTGCCAACCATCGCCAATGGACGATGGCATCATCTATCGGCCCAACCCTAATACGGATTAAAATGTCCACCAAAATACAGCACACCCCTATAGGCAATCAGAATATAAGTGAATGCAGTTGTCTGTGAGAAAATACTGTAGCAAAAATGCAAAAAAACAAAAAATTACATTATGCATAGTAAAAAATATTCATATTCTGAGATGCCTCTGTGATTTATGTAATAAAAATGTTTCCTAAACCTCGGTTGACGTAAACATTCAACACAGTGACATCTAGTGACCTAGAGTGATCTCTACAAGAGAGAGTAGGAGTTTAGGCTCCAGTTAGTAGACAACGAGGGTTTAAACTCAGCCAAGCTAACGACAGGGATATTCTTGAAAAATTAAATTAGACATTTAGTGCAGTGAAAGTGATTAAGGTGGTTTGGAATGTTGAAGGATGCACTTCTTACCTCTCTTTGTCCAGCAACTCCAGACCATCGTTGATTTTCTTTAACATTTCGTAGCGTTCGCGACCATGAACCTGCAGGACAGTTCAGAGGGAAATTAATCAAATAGCACGCAAAGTTTTGTAAAGATATCCAGCTTTCTAACAGTACGTATCCTTACTTACACGCAAAGTAAACACTTCCTTGTCCTCCTCCTCTGCACTGGAGGCAGACTTGGTCTTCTTTAAAGATGTGTCAGGAGGTGGAGCGCTCTCTGAGGAAACAAAAGTGAGGTTAGCGAGGAACAGCAAGCAGGGACGAAAAACTTAAATCTAATGAAACACAGGAAAAACATACTCCGTTTCTTTGTTTGTTTAGTCCCGTTCTGCAACTTGGCGCTATTATCCTCCTCAGTTTTGCGGTCCCTGCCTGGACATGCACAGACACGTACCTCGAAGCACCTCCGGCCCAGAACAAGACCCCTAGGAAGGAGATGGACAGCAGTCAGAGTCAAATGCTTTCCTAGACTGCAGAACAGTCATGCAGACTTTAACTGGGTCACCCTTAGCAATGACTTTAAGATGGGTGAAAATGTTATCTATACCCAGAGTATACATAAACACTCTTACCGGCCCCCTCACAACCAAAGCAACACTTACTCTGGAGTCTCGAGGGTTAGGATGGTGAGTATAGGTCTTCGGTTCATGCCCCCCATGCAGGAACTATTGCACATAAAGCTCAGCAAGATAGTCGTCATCTCCGACCCCAACTGAAACAGGATGAGCATAACAATTTTGAGTCACTGCTGGTTGAAGTTGTATAATTACGGGGAAAGGGGAAAGTGTTCAATCCCACACTGTGACCCATCCACCACTGTGTCCCTGAGCAAGACACTTAACCCCTAGTTGTTCCAGAGGCGTGCGACCTCTGACATGTATAGCTGCTGTAAGTCGCTTTGGATAAAAGCGTCATAAAAAGAAAAAAGAAAAAACGCAACTAAACCATAACATACCAAGTCTTAATGAGAGAAAGAAAAAGGCATCGTGATGAGAAGTGTTTTCAGCACTTAACACTTGTTTGTAATCCCAGGAGCCCCATCAGTGAAATGTTCCACGGTTCACAGTTGTGTTAATAAAGTACAGATACCGCTACAAATGTATTGTTCTTAACTCCTTATCGACTCTTCTGGGTGTCATAGATACAGCCAATTTATTGATTTGGGAGATACATTCCTGGACTGTTTCACAATTACACAGTACTTTATGTACATTGTATTTTCAGGCTAAAATGTGATTTCAGATTGAGAGACACCGTTGTTTGTTCATATACTCACATAGAAGATGATTGAAGGTCACACATTAGGATCTGTGAATCGGTAAACTAACTGCTGTAGAAAGAGTAGACATGTTCCCCCTCAGACAGATCGAGCGGGGCGGTTGTACCTGTGGAGGCTCGTACGGGACAGTCACACTTTGCCTCTTTGTGTGTGGATCTTCAAAATACAAAGCTCTCTGGCTTCCCTCCACTCGGATCAAATGGCTGCGATGCTCAGCGGCTGGAATGAAAACAGATGTAAAAAAAAAAAAAAAAAATCTTTAATCGCCTCAGATCTACAATGCTCACCAATTATGAATCTTCTCACAAAGACATTCAAAGCAATTTCTCAGAAACAGAAACTTACTGTCTTCGTTCTGGTGGTGTGGACACCTTCGGACCACATCCGCTACGTGCTCTGTCTTCTTGTAGACCGCTGTGGCCCTCAGGACAGCACCCGCAGGAGGCTCCTTGGTGACGTGTATTTCAATTGGAGTGGTTTTTGCCAGCTGGCAATACAGCTTGTTCAGAAGCTCCGAAAACTGATGGAAAGCACAGAGAGAAAGCCATGCACGTTATTATCTGTGAACTTCTGAAAGAGCAGAGCTCTGAGTAAATCTATGAGGACTCGAATGCCAAGCACTGGTCTGAGATCTTTCTCAGTGCACTTTTATAAAGACTAAAGCTGATGATACACAGAGCAACTTTTTGAGCAATCATGCAGGGCAACGTTGCCGTCAATGGTAATGAGTAAAGATTACTACCGTAATCCGCTTTCCCCCACCACTCCGCCACCCACCGCCGCTATCTGTCCAAAACATAGTCGGACTTGCCACTAGCAAGATTGCCCAGCAAAACTGCTCAAAAAGTTGTCCTGTGTATCATCAGCTTAAGACTTTGACTATTCTTAAAGTTTTATAAAGTATCAAAAAAAAGTAAGTGAAACTACTTTCTTCTCTTAAGGATCAAAAACAAACTTCATGTTAAGTTATCCAAGTGAGAAGTAGCCAATCAAAAGACAATCTTTACCTTGCTTTCCGTCCATTTTTAACCCTTTCTGTGCCAGAGGAAGACAGCGCAGGAACATGTCCCGTCATGTCAGAGCTGTGCTTTATGATCGGACTGCACCTCTCCCATAGACCAGAGCACAAGTCGCAGGGGGCGGGGGTTTCAGGGAAGACCACCCTAACCTCAACTAAACCAGCCAACTGCAGCACGCTGCTGGGTGAGTCACCGTGGAAACATTAACGCCATAGGCTCTCCAAACAGAGTGCCTGACTCCAGACCTTAAAATTTAGCGAATCGTCACAATGAATGAGATTCCACATGAATGCCACCGTGAGAGATTTGAAAGAATGGATTTTTTTAAACACGATGCCATGGTAAGAATTTTTATTTTATTTTTCCCCCAAAAAACTTGTTTTACACACTTTAAATAATGGGGATGGTATAGTGAGAGATAAAAACTTCAGAAACCACAGTGAAAAACTAACTTCTAAAACTCAAAATGGGAAAATCCTGTGCATTAGTTATAATTTATACACAGGATTTAATAAAAAAATTGCAACAGGAGCACAGTTTCTGGATATAAAACTACACTATGGCTGGAAGAAACTTAGATGAAGAATGTTGATTCGAAACTGAGCAGCTGTTTAAATCACTTTTGTTCTCCAAGGAGAGCTCAAACAAAAAATGTCAGCTTCTTGTCACGTTTGGTTGCAGAAAAATCTGCGCCAAGTCCCAATGAATTTTAACATTTGGTCTAACATTTAAATTCTGTGTAACTCCATTAAAATTTCATATGAACAGTAAGTACAGATTTCTGTTGCTGAGGTCGAAAGTAGCCTGTCAAATTATTTTTAAAAATACGATAAAGCAACAAATAAGAACAACCTCTACATTTTGACAATGCAAGTCTGAGATTACTTACAGTGGAGGTGACGGACTTTGCTGTGCCAGACTTCTGAAAGCGAAGCTGGAGGCCATTCTCCCCTGGGTAATCAGTTGTAACCGGGACGGTGGAGGACGGGGGAGTAACACTGTCTGTAGCGGAAATCTCTGTGAAACTGTCAAACAGTTTCTCATCAAACTCGTCAGGCAGCAGAGAGTCACTCGGCTACCATAAATAAAAACATTTAGATTGAAGTTACCATCAGATGAATTTGACAAATATCTTCACAGAAATCTTTCTCCTGCAGCAATTCAATTTATTGTTTTTAAACCAGGGCGACGCTTACCAGCATATAAGCATTACCGTCCGTCCTCCATGATCCAATATCCCCATCAGTCGCTGTTGGTATGGTGGAGATGGAGGGTGTGGCTCTGCAAAAATAATCATTCATCACACAAACTGGTAAACTTGTTTTTCCCCGATGCAAGCTGACATTTTTGAACGTACTATCAAAACACAACTTACACACTCTCCCACAGCTGTCTAAAGGAATCCTGGCTCAGCGGCAGATTCTGGCTCAAGGAGAGACTGTCGAAACCTTGCTCTTCCATGATTTATTTCCTCTCCTTTCCTGGCTGAGAGAAAATGAGGAAGAGCCAAGATGCAGGAGTGCTGTGGGGATCAACAGGAAGTAAGTTTATGTGACAACTCTGCCTCTATCAAAACAAACACACTTATCAAGCAGCACGAAACAAACATTTAGGGGAATACTTATTGATTATACTTTCGTTCGTTTTGTTTGAGTCACAATCATCCAAACAATTTAGATTGAAAATGATATAAAACCTACAAATCTGCATAATTTGTTAAATTACTTTAACACAAAATGTTTTAGCATATTGTTCTGTGGCCGACTAATCGCTTAACACCATTTAACTTATAACAAACATACAAATACCAGGACAGAGTCGGTGTAAGTTGTGTGTGGACCACTTTAAAGTGAAAATAACACCGAGGAACACGTTATTTACCGTAATCCATGCGAATGAATGAATGCTAAAATGACTAATCTTTGTTACTACCACACCTGAAGTTTAAAGTAACGAACGTTAGGCCTTCTGCTGACTAACGTTAGCATGTTTGACCTGGCTAAGGTTACTGCTTAACACAAACACACAAATATCCCGGCCATATTTTACAAAATATAAAACCCAGTTATCTGACTTCACGATCGGCAGCCTCCCCAAAACAAAACACCACAAAAACGTATTCAACCTGCTGTAGTTAGCTAATAGCTGCACCGTTGTTTCCTGCAGGCCACACAAACTGAATGAAGCTAGCTCGATTCGGACACCGAGTCGACATTTTCACAATAACTCGATGGAAACACCTTTACTAAACACTTAAATGTGCTCAGACGATAAGTGTATATATATATATATATATATATATATATATATCTCGAGTGTATAACAAGTTGGCTGCTCGCAAGTAACGTTACAGCACACAATAATTTCGGTGTCTTGCTAGTGAGCTTAGCATTAGCTCAACTAGCTAATTACGTTGGCGCTACGTTCAGGAATCGGACCGACTACCTAAAGTGCAGAAAAACTTTCTTTTTCGATAAAACAATAGGCTCTCCGCACTCCCGCTTTAATAAATGAGACATAAGTTCACCACACAGCTACCTTGTATGTCCCGCGACTAGTGCCCGAGTGAGATGAGTCACAGTGTTCAGCAGCTGGGTATAAACAGCCGAACAGGTCCAAATATTTTGGGGTAAATCAGAGCACGTTGTTGTTGTCGGGGATTCCCACAGAGAGGAGGGGGAGGGGCGGCTGGTGGCCGCGTCCAATCACAGAGCGCTCTGCTCTCCTGACGCCAGTAAACGCAACATCGCGAAATGCTACTGCTGCTCTATGCTGCTGCTGCGTTCAAGACAGTCGGAAATATGATAGCTCAACAACACAAAGTTGTGCTTGCATGTATGTCATGGCTGTATCATTATTTCAGTAAGTAGCCAGCAGGTGAATTTTAATGTCCACATCCAGTTGAAAGAATAGACCTACACAACATAGATTTTTAGCACAACAGCAGTTCCATTAAAATCGAAATTACAATCACAGTTACAATATCAAGAATTGGACTAGGCCTACAAGATATTCTTGCAGTCCCAATATAAAGTAGCCATACAGAAGCAGGTTCTCTTGTATAGGACAACAACAGCAGTTTAATGTTTATTTTACAATGTAATGTAAACACATAATTTCAGAGTGTAGTAGCCTACATGGCTGTAAAAGGGGCAAAAAACAACCTGACCTACTCTGATAGCCACGGTACTCTACATCCTGTCCAGGTTCTCATTCCTATCCAGAAGGTGAACAACAGATCATGTGTGTTTTTTCTTGCAGTCTCAGTTTATCGGAATTTCTTTCTAAACACAAACGCGGAAAGGTAAACTGTGATTTTGTATTCAACAGTCTGTTCGTGAAAGTTAAATTAGATTTATTAAATGAATTTTGTCAAGTATTATATTGTAAACAAGCTATTTGAAAATCCCTCAGTTTGTTAAAGAAACTATTGTTATGTACCACACGTGCCAAAAATACCAGACTGTCCAAGATAATAGAAATTGTGCTGTTTTCTGTGCACTAACAGGAAACTGCTCCAACTGTTCAGGTAAAATATATATAAAACATCTAGGTATGTACTTTGCAATGGTAAAAGTATCGCCTTATGGGTCATGTTTACACCCTGAACATCTGAAGGTGCTATTACATGTGACAAAACGTATGTTGACACAGTGCTTTGATACTTCAGGGTATACTTCTCCCAATTTTTGTGCTTTGAAGTAGCAAAAGCATTCATTCACCTAAGTTGTACACTCAAAATCAAAACACGCATGCATTCTGAATGTACAAATATACATTTATATATATTATACTGCTCTCGCAATCCTCTGCATGTCTTGAAATTTTAAAAAGATGCACAAGTAGTCCCTTAAAAACTATTTGTGCCCAGTGGGCTACTGGCCATTACATTTTATTGTGGTCCATTATGACATGTTCCAAAGTATTACAGTATAACTTTGAATCAGCGTCCCTGGAGAGGTCAGCTACTGTCTTACTCATCAGACTGTCAGTCCTACCTTTATACGGTTGTGTTTGTAACTAGTTTAAATATGTTAATTTCACACTTTAACACACAGGCTGGATGACGTCACCTCTCATCACCCTTCAAATGTCCTTTTGATGATTAGATAAACGTCGACACCACTGGGGGGCTGAGCTGCAGAGAAACGTGGCATGCTGCTGGCATCTTGTCCTGAACTGCCAAGAGTCACATGCAGAGAGTACACACGGTTCTCGTCCATCTCTCTGGGTGCACGGCGGCTCTTGATGCCACTCTGGGGCTTATTTGGCTATTTGACCTTTGAGTGAATGTGTTGATGGTGCCAGTGAGTCCACTAAGAACTCGATCCCACTGGCACTGCATACAAAAGTGAGGTCTAACAGAACAGGACCAGGGTGGAGGAGGAAAAGAGAATTTGCATGATTAATGTCGCAGCAGAAACTGTTGTGTGTAATTTGATATTGTCTCGTAGCGTGTCATGAGGAAGGCCAAGAGACTGTGTGTGTGTGTGTGTACGTTTTGAATTCTTTCCAGTGATTACCAAGGCCGCAAGGGTACAGACCACAATGACTGCAGGCGCACAGCAGAGAGCTACACTGAGCTGTATGCTGTAGACGTTTAAGGCCAGGCCAGCCAGGGCCATGATAAAGCCTGAGCTGCATGCAGGCTTTAGCACCAGTGTGCTGTCATAATGCTTTTGTAGGAGTGACTACGGTATGTGGCCTGTATTATTCACTGCAGCATTTGTCTATTTACCGGTCCAGCCTAAATTATTGTTTTAATAGTTGCTTTTAAGCCATTCTTTATTAGTGGGGTTTCTTTCTGTTTCCAATCAATGAAATCATATTACAATTGACGAACCAACTGATCAACAATCTTTCCCATTATTAAAGATATTAAAAAAATTAAATGTAGTTTGGTATATTCCTGTCTTTCTCACTTACAGCAAGGAGAATCACTGCAGAAAGTAGGCTGGGCCCTGGTCAATTTAATTAAATTCAATGGGGCTTTATTGACAAGGGAAACAGACGTTTACAATACCAAAGCAAGTGTGAAATAAAAACAGTAGAGTTGAGGTTTTTCTAACATATACACGCGAAGAGAGAGATGAGTAAAATAGCAGTGAAATAAAGAGAAAATAGTAAAATAGTTCCTCTTCACTGCGCATGAGGTGTGGTTAGCATTAGAGATGTATAACCACCATAGTTTTTGTAAATTTGCCGTTGATGAGAAGATGGATACCTCTCACACACGTCTGTTTGGTAAATATGTCAGTTAGCAGTTTGTTGTTAGCTTAGCATAAAGACTGGAAGCAAGTCAAAGCGAGTCTATTTTTTCCAAAGGTAACAAAATTCACCTACCTGCACCTTTAGACTTTACATGTGGCTCATGTGGTATGGGGGATTCCATATAGTAACTGTTCACAGCAAGGCCCTACTTTGGGTTAGATTTTGAGATACTTGTTTGGATTTACTGCTTTTGCTCACATTTTTATTGCTAATTACAATTTGGTCATTCAAGGAAAATGGTACTCCGGTCTTCTGCTCTTTTTTATCTTTGTGAAATCATGTTTGGTAATCTGTACTTGAGTCTAATTTTGTACAGTTTATAATCCATGATTTACATATGTTTTTGTGTAGCTTATAGGCCCATAGGTGTGACACTTTAACTCATAGCCCAGCAAATGACGGGACTCACGTACAGTTTGCTGTGAATGTTGTTGCCTGTCACACACCGCCACTTACCATACAGTGCAACACCTGCCATCCATCACACGACTCAGTTTACTGTAACATGATTTTGAACCAGCTGACCCCCACGGACCACACACACACGTCATGATAAGGATTAACAGTATTTACAAGGGCTGTTTCTTCACATCACAGAGTCCATGTGGTGGAGTGACTTTTTGTTTAAGATAACAGTGAAACACACACTGACTGGCAGCTCCATGTGGGGACAACACAGGTGGAGTAGTGCTGTTCTTGGCTGTCTCTGTATGAATGCATGTGATACTTTTTGGAAACGCAGCGCCATGTTTTCTGTCTGGCCCTGGTTGCGCACATGAACCCTTAAACTATGTTCTTGGGGCTCTGTGCCACTGTTCTGATGGTGTAAAGTTTCTCTACATTTAGTCAGCGTCACACACACATGAGTTGTGCTGGGGGCCCCTGGCTTTGGATGAAGGGTGTCAGGTTCTTCCTCTCTTTCTCAATGTGACTATGAGGGTAGGAAAAGGAAAATTCAAAGGTTGCCAGCTCCAAGGAGAGTGGCATGAGGTGGGGGTGTGTCTGCAAGGGGTGGGAAAAGATTATTCATTTGACTGAGAGATCTAGAGCAGATATTCTTCCACTGAGCTCAGGCAGATCTGTACTTTTCCCGCCCAGTGCAGCCTTCCCACAACACACCCTCTAATCCGCGTCTTGGACACACCTTCACCCCATGGCCAAACTTCCCCTAACCACACCTACACTGCTAACTCAAATTTAGGTCCCAGCTGTTGCCTGCTGGAGGAGGATTAAGCTTTGTTTCATGCAACAGAGGGGGAGCTATGGTATGTGACCCCTTTGGCATGTGATCTGAAATAGAAAGGGATTTATGGCTGTTGGGAAGACAGACAATGACAGCCAGGCTGTCAAAGACGAGCCCCTCTTTGCTGATAATGAGAAATGTTGAGTCATAGCTGGCGGCGTGATGGACCCTGACTCTGGTTCTTCTAAGGTCCAACACCTGTGCAACCATGTAACCTCCATTATTTTACCATCTATAAATGATGCTTGAGAGATTTGAATGTCAAACCATCAGATTATGTAATTTAATATTGCAAATGTTGCACCTGATGAGCGAAGGAAAGAGTAAGATGCACATGGTTCTTTTTTACAGTTAGAGAGTTTGTAATTCTTTAAAAGGCCAGTCAACATTAAGGGTAAATAAAAGTGTGCCCTAAGACCAAATTTGGCCCTCAGCAACTCTCCCAGTCTCAAGCTAAATATAAATTATATATAATCATATATATATCAATTATTGTTGATTAAAAAAAGTGATCTTGAAATGTAATCACAGCTCTCTCTCTCTCTCTCTCTCTCTCTCTCTCTCTCTCTCTCTCTCTCTCTCTCTCTCTCTCTCTCTCTTTCTTTGTTTCATCTCTTGCACCAAAATGAAAACCAGACCCCCTTGTCTTTAAGACAAATTTTCCGTTGCACAGCATGTTCTTCGGTCCTTACACATCCTCTGTCCCCTCTCGCCTTCAGCCAATAGTAGTTAATGTCAAGTGATCTTCCTGCTTGCGTTTCGACCTCTGCCATCAGCCCACTGGGCTGGACCGGAGTAGCCCCCGACCCCCACCCCATACGGAGAGAGGCGTGCACGTGGGTGTCACTCTATCCCAGCTGGAGGGACACAACACAACGTTCAAAGAAGAGAGGACACCCTACAACACAGGACGCTTCTCTTTTGGATTTTTCTTACTATCTTACTTTTCTGACGCTAAAGTGCTAAAGATTTAAGTCGGGGCTTGTTGTCCTTTTGGAGGAGTTTCACGTGTCATTTGGCACCAGGCGCATCTGCCATCTACTGCAACTAGGTGTCTGGAACTGCCAAAATCATGCCGACCGGGTTTCAGCAACTTGGAGGGGAGGTAAGAAAAAAAAAATCACGAGAGCTTTGGACAATTTAGGAGGCTGAAGGAAAAGCCGTTGCTTTTGTCTTACTCCGTGCGCAATTCACTATTCGGTGCGTATTGTTTTTGGAGAGATTTTACGCACGAGTTTGTCACCGTCGTACACAACACTTGAGAGAAAATGCGTGCTTTGCTGTGCCTAACTCTAGTTTACCTCCTATAATCCAATAAATAAACACAAACTCGTTGGCTGGTCGGCAAAAATAATCTGAAAATTGAAATGATATAAACATGATTTGTCAATTTTCTCTTAGCTCTAAAATTCATGTAGAATATTAATGGTAAATATGTAAAGCAATTGCCTATAGTGTCCTTTATGTAGAGGATAAAATGATAACAAATTAAGAATAATGATATAATAATAACGTCCTTTGCAACAACCAGTAACTCCAAAAAACGTTTCAGCTGGGAGGAAACCCTGATAAATCAGCCCTGATCTGAACGAGCTTTGGCCCTTATTTAGTCCTGAGCAGTGACCTTGACTAGTTTACAGGTCAGAGCTTAGTGCTGCCGGTTTGTTAAAGGCCACCTAGTTTGACTGTTTCCTTTTCACATAGCTCATAAACTGTGCCTGTGATGTGTATGATCCCTCCGGCTACGTTTGAGTAATAGACGTGTGAATCAGTGTTACTCTGATTCTGGGCAGTTTAATCTCTCCATAATCTTGAAGCAAGAGAGAGTGGACTGTTACCTGTGACACCACAAAGAAAAGAACTCCTGAAGGTGCTTCACCACCATCTCTTGCTTAAAGAAGCAAGAGATGGTGTGAACACTGTCTTTAACTGGGCAGGTTGATGGTCCAAGGGTGTGGGAACTTCTATTAGTTCGGATGTTTTGGCTTCAATATGAAATAAATCCCTTTAGCACTCAACACAGGCAAAAAAAGCAAAGGCACTGTATGATTTCCTCCTTTTAGAACTAACAAATAGGTGGCAGAAGACTTAGTCAAAGTTTTAAAACAGTATTAAACTGCACAAGAGGATTAAGAATTAGTTAAAAAAGCCGCCACAGATTCATTTGTGATGAGTAAAAAGTAAATGAACCACTGAGCATCCAACTGTGTGAGGCAATTTTTCATGAAATGCACTTAACATGAAGTGTAATAGAGTATACCTGGCTGCAAGGACACACACACACACACAGACACACAACCTTTTGCTTTGGTTCATGAATACTAAACAACACTTATCTGGAGACTCAACACAGCAAGGTCATAACACAGTGTTACAGACGCACACTTCCTACACACACTACTGAATCAAACTACATGCAAACTCAAAACTCTGTTGAACATTTGCCAGGTGTATGAACAGTTTTATGCACATTAAAAACATTATTCTGTTCAAACTGTAGATGATTAGCTTAAAGTCACATTATATTGTTGCTGTCAGGTGGCCCACATCATCAAAAATGTTAACTTTTCAGAAAGCCTTGTTAGCACGACCAGCAGGTCTCGAAAGACTTCTAAAAGTATATAAAATCACCATGAAAGTCATCACTTCCTTGCTAGGTGACTAGTCTGCCAGTTACAATATGAAGTGGCTCTTTGAGACTTGAACACACTTTGTTGGAGGGGAAGACCTCATCTCTCCGAGGCCCTCTCATCTGTCACAGTGGAGACAGGTGCCTGTGGCCTGATGGGGAAACTGGAGGGAAATTTAAATGTCAGGCGTCAACAGTAAAACTAGCCTGTGAAGTCACAAACAGTGCTGAAGAGATTGTCTCTCATCAGAATCCCAGTTATACAAAGTGTATATAGGTGTTGGTGGTGTAGGGATGAAACAAATTTCAGTGTCTGCTTAAGCTTTCTTATTATTTGCCATTATTATATTTACAAACAAGTCTTCCAGTATTACACACTGTTCTGTAAATTATACAGTTTTTAATGTTTTTTTTCTCTCTATGTGTGTTTCTTTGTGTCTTTCTACTGCAGACAGTGACGGGAACCTTTGTTCTCTCAGTCTTCACTGCCATCCTGGGCTCTCTGCAGTTTGGATACAACATCGGCGTCATCAATGCACCTCAGAAGGTAAACACAAAGCACCCATTTCAAAGATGGCGCCAATAAAACCCCATCAAAGTGCCAAACAGGTTCCAATGTGCATCAAAGAATGGAAGTGCGTTAAAAGAAGTGCTGATGTAAGACAGTGACATTTATTAACAAGATGTCATAATAAGCTGTTTCTCATATTACCTGAAGTGCAGTGGGTTTGACTCCACAACATCCTGTCGCGCTGCTTCAAACGGTGCCGATGGTGTGTAGAAAATAAACCTGTAACAGGGAAACAATCCCAGACACGTGACGCTGTGAAGTCATCTGATACAAAGGAAATTATGGGAGTCAGATGAACACTTAAAGTGGGGAGACAGGAGAGGAAGGTCTTAGTTGTACGGAAACACAGCAATGCCATAACATGTCTGCCTCTGGTGTGATGGGAAAGAGAGGATATTTCTGTCTGTTTCATGAGGATGATTAGGTTTCTGTCACATCCAGAGGGCAACATTGTGCTGTCCGTACTTCTGAAGCCTTCAAATACAAACACTGTCTGCACAGTATATATAGATAGAGGCACATGGTTTTTGAAAACTGACTTGCTCCGGACCATAAAATATGTTCCTGCTCATATTGCAGCCACATCTGGTGTTCCAGGATGAAGGCATGCGTCGGTTCTGCACGTGAGAAATGCGTATAGTATTGTATGGCTTACTGTATGCATGGATCCTACTCTTTAATCAGGACTGGGATATGAAGTTACTAAACAAATGCACTGCAGAACAAATTAGTTTCAGAGAGACACTAATACCAGAATAGAAGCTGAGCTGCTGGGACATTTTGATACAGTTTTGTTGGACATTACATAAAGAAAGTTTTTTTTAACTATACAGGAAATACCTTTTCATTCAGGCTGTAAACCCTCAATTTATAGTTTATTACCTGTAGGTTATCCTTTAATTTATGCACTGGGCATCCTCCATATGGACTTGTTTTTACTTTTCTGTGTTGATAACTCCTTTACATTTATATTAATGTAGTTTCAGCTCATGAGCCAATAGTTAAACCCTAACACTGGTCAACTTCTAAGTGTGAACAGGGCTGCACATCATTTGAAAATGTCAGCTTTAAAGACTCAGCGCTACTGACACACTTTAGCTGCTACCAAAAAATTACTGAAGCTTGAATCAAATAGGTTAAATTCAGAAAAATAAATATATCTTCCTCTGATGGAAAAGGATGAACTGATAAGAATTTGGTGGTCAAAACTCAAAGATCATGGTGACCTCACAAAACTACAAAAACAAAAAAGAATTAATGTTTTAATTATGACAACATTTCACACAGATGTTTAATTGTAGTGTAGTGCTGACATTTCTTAACCTAAAGGTCGAAGGTCTACTTGAATGTGACATCATAATGTCCTGGAAAAACATACCATACCTCAGGAACAGAAGGGGAGGCCGTGACCATATTTCACAGTTGGTCAGACACTGAATAGGTGACACTTTTGACTCAAAGGTCAAAGGGCATTGTGACCTCAAAATAAACAAAAGCACCACATTTTTTGTAGCTATTCCTTTTCTAAATTGTAGTCATTGTGTCTTACCGGTTTAGCCAATACATCTATGATAATCCTTCATTAATCATTCAACAATATTCAGTGGAATCATATGTATCCTGAGCCGGACCATTCTTTACGCTCCGCATGCACGTTGTGTAAGGCCCCGCCTCACTCTCGTGTCAATTTTTACAACTTTGATTAGAGGACTGATTAACAGGGCAGACTGGGCAATATGGATTCATCTCAGTATCTCTAACATTAATATCTCTCAAGTATTGTTATCTGTAACATACAGGGTAAGTTTGTCAGTACAAGCACAGTTGATCCATTTCCATTCAGGCTTATTACAGAGACAGACTGTTAAATGTGGGAGGATTGTAGTCAGAGAGGTGTCAAGTGTGACTGTGCAGCAATGGCAAAATGTCTACATGGCTCAGAAGTTAGGAAGGAGGGCCCCATAGCAGAAGTTTGCCCCAGGGAGGGTAAGACTGGCTCTATATGTATCATCAATATAGGGATAACTTCTATTTAGCCAAAAAAAAAAAGTATTCACACATACATTATATGAATCTGGACAGACATGGATGTAAACTACAACTTGATTTGTACCGTATCTGTATCCTTGTCTAATACTACAACTGATTTTAAATTCTAGTTATTAGGGTCACAAGCCGTGCGGGCTATCCCAGAGATGTGAAATCTTTAAACATTTACCTTACATGTATTGTATATCTTATGATTATGGTCCGTTGCTTAACACATCTCATACTGTCACCTCTGTGCCCTGCGCAGATGATTGAGGAGGACTATAATGCGACATGGCTGCATCGGCATGGAGAGCCCATCCCGACAGGCACCCTCACTTCCCTCTGGTCTCTGTCCGTGGCTATCTTCTCAATTGGCGGCATGATGTCTTCCTTCTGTGTGGGATTCGTCTCTGAGTGGCTGGGCAGGTAGGAAACCCACCTGGATGCCACACACTCTTAATTTAGGTATTAGTACTTGAAGTTTACATTTTGCCTGTGTCATGTCACATCAACCTAAGCTTATTTAAACCGACTACTATGTGAATTTTTAGGTCCAGGTGCGTATTTCCAGCTATGTCAGTGGTTTCACACTTTTCGGTAGTGACAGTCCAATACTCAGACACTATAGAGTTTACATACATATCACAATTTGATTAACTTGTGCAAGAACAATAGAAGCAGAAAATCCTATGCACTGTATCACACATACAAAATCTTAATTGCCATATAACGGCATATTATACAGCATACATACTGTATAGTTTTAACCAAACTACAAAATGCATCCCGGATGCCAACTGGACTGCAGCCCACAGCTTCCACAGCGGGAAAGTGGATCTTAGCAGAGCTTGCAGCACTGTGTCAGGAGGGGTGTGCGGAGGAGGTGCGGGTCGAGGGGTGGCATCATTCAGCTTGGGTGCATTCAGGACAAGGTCTTCCTTAAATAAAAAAAAAGACTTACTTCACTTGGATATCTGACCTTCACTGTGTGCATGCAGAGTTTCACACCAGAAGACCAAATCAGACTCAAATTACTTTTCAAAGCAGAGTATTTATATACAGTATGTCTTAAAACACGCCTGGCGGGATCTTTAAACTATAAATGTTGATTGTTTAGCTTTTCAGTATATGTGTCCCCTAGTTTGACCAAAACGCCTGACTCTGTCACCTATGCTCTGGTCATGTTGCTACACAGCATTGGAGGAAGATCAGTGGGAAACATAGCCTTTTGGAATGACTTGTAATGGTCCATCCATCTATCATCAACCGCTTATCCTGCCTACAGAGTTGCGGGGGAGCTGGAGCCAATCCCAGCTGACATTGGTCTAAAAATAACTTTAAATGAAATGGAACAATGCCAAACTTTTTTTTAAAGTTATGCAAGAATAACCTATACTTTCAGTCACAGATTAAGCAACTAACTAACTAAACCTAAACCTGTTGTACAACACTGCCCTCTGGAGGCAGGAAGATATCACTAGCACATCTAAGGTACAACATGGAGCCAGACAAAATCCTGTTTAAGTAATCTGTAAAATCTGTGAAGAGAAATGTATAATTGTCAGATATGCTCACCCTCAACACACTGGTCTCTTACCTACCTATCAAAGTACAGTATGTGATTGTAGGCGTCTGTCTAATTCAGACTACAGACAAATATAATGTTCATTATTTTGATACTAAAGAGTGTACTTTTAGTATTCTACATATATATATTTTTGGAGGAATGCTTTCACCTCAAAGTCATCACTCCAGTAAGTAAAAGCATTGTGTTGCCCTAACACTTACAGTACCAACAGTAATTTGTATGCTGACCATAATTTTATGATTTTATAAGAATGTGTGTTATTTTTCCAGTCGCCCAGCAATGAAATCTGTCAAATAGTCAAACAAGTTTAAATTTACTCTTAATGTTCTGGATGATGAATTAAGACTATTGGCTTGGACTCTTCAATGATGAAACAGGTCAAATTTAGATTTTATTAGATTTAAAGTGACAATATGTAACATTTGAGAACTGAATTACTACAAAGATGCTTGTCTGTGTTTTTTCCAGGAGGAAAGCCATGCTCATAAACAACTTGTTTGCTTTCATCGGTGGAAGTCTAATGGGGTTGTCCAAGCTCTGCCGCTCCTTTGAAATGATGATCCTCGGCCGCCTTATCATCGGTGCCTACTGTGGTGAGTGGTCCACGGTTCTGTTATTTTAAAATCCCAGGAAATGTATTTGAAAGTTTCTTCTGTATAACAATCTTGCATCGCCTTCACACCTGATAGAAAGTTTCTGTCTCTCATTCAACTTTTCCTGTGTGCAGGTTTGGCATCAGGTCTGACACCGATGTATGTGGGTGAGATAGCTCCTACAAGTCTGCGAGGGGCACTGGGCACGCTGCACCAACTGGCTATAGTTACTGGTATTCTCATAGCGCAGGTATGACAGCACACTGTGACAGTGATGTTGCAGATCATAAAACCTGTTCTGTATAAAAAACAAGGATAATTTGTGAAAATCACATGGCCATTTAAGATTCTGACTCTTAAAACACTTGTGAGAAAATGTTATAAGGTGAACCACCATGTAATACTTTAATGTTTTCTATTATTATTTTGTAATAGCCTTTTCTTAAAATGTCTTTTCATCTTTTTAAATCTTAAGCCCTCACATCTGATCCCTCTCCCTGTGCAGATCCTGGGCTTGGACGTGTTACTGGGCAGCGAGGACTTATGGCCAGTTCTGTTGGGTTTAACTGTTGTGCCGACTGTACTTCAGATGGCACTTCTGCCTTTCTGCCCCGAGAGCCCCCGCTTCCTCTACATTATCCGCTGCCAGGAGCACCAGGCCAAGAGAGGTAAGCGGGGCTTGAGAACTCCAGACTGGTCTTAGGACATGTTTTTACATATATATAAAAAGGTTGCGATCAATTTCAACATCATTTTATTTTTGTGAAGTTAGATCTAAAACCCAAACGTGTGATGGGGAATTAAGACAAGTATGACTGAAGTCATCGTCTTCATCCTCAAAACTGGAACAGTACTCAGAAGTACAACAGCCACCTTCTTCAAAACTATAATGATGCCATACTTTCAGGATATCTATCTATCTGGTCCACAACATGTACAACATGTATTCCTGATTGCTTGTTTCTGTGGATTTGGCTACAATTGTTGGACATTTTATTTATGTTTTGTGTATATTTGTTGCTGTTGAAATATGACCACAATAAACACCTGTGTGTGTTTGTGGGTCCTAAAAACCTGAGAGGACATTTAAGTGACCTGAAGACTGAATTTTTTATTTTGGGTGAAGTCCTTCCGTCTTAAACTGTAGCTGAGGAATATTGGGCAGATCTTACTAATAGCCTGTGTAAAGAAAAGGATTGTCAGGTTTATTACACTGTCTAGTCAATTACTGTACACTATCTTGTTATTTAAGTTCTCTCGGGTCACCCTACATAACATTTATTAGGCTTAATGTTATAGATTTGTCTCTGTATTGTATATAACATCTTAGATTGTTGCAACAGAGCCGCTGTGGTGTCAAGCATTTGTCCTTAAAGAAATAGTGGAGGAGACTCTAATACAACTTACACACCTCTCAGTTCTCACTCTTTACACGTCTCCTTTGTGCAGGCCTGAGGAGGTTGACGGGCAGGCAGGAGGTGGGCGACATGCTGGCAGAGATGAAGGAGGAGAAGAGAAGGATGGACATGGAGAGGAAGGTGTCCATCCTGGAGCTCTTTCGCTCGCCACTCTACCGCCAGCCTATCATCATTTCCATCCTCCTGCAGCTCTCCCAGCAGCTGTCTGGGGTCAATGCGGTGAGTCAAGGGAAACGTATTCAGTGTCCTGTGATATCATTACACCTTCCACAACATCCCCAAAAAGATCATCTTTAAAAAAGTAAATCAGTGCAGTATAATGTTGACGTAATCTTAATCTGTTTACCCCTCTGACTAGATTTTCTACTACTCCACCAGTATCTTCATGAAGGCAGGAGTCCAGAGTCCAGTCTATGCCACCATAGGAGCAGGCGTGGTAAACTGTGCCTTCACTGTGGTCTCGGTCAGTAACCAAACCAACATGCCTTCATCACAGCTTTTTGATGTGTCTCCTCCTTCCTCATTAAAGAATTTAACTCTAAATGTTCAATCTTTTTTTAATTTAGTGTTATGCAGATAACTGTCCTGCTATGTGTAGCAGTGTGTCTCTATTACTGTTTAACATTGTTATCAAAGAGCAAATAAGATAACACAGCAGGTTGGTCACCCTTTCTCTTGTGCCTGCCGCTCAAACATTCCTGCATTCAAATAGGCCAAGTTTGGTTCGGCAGGTCAAGACTTTTAAATGGTTCAAGAAACCTGATTTTTAGCTATGCTAGCAGCGTGGTTCTTGGGATGGCCACGTCGGTCTGTCAACCACTAAAATATATAATTTATGTCTAGAATATAAATGCTACCAACTTTGGAGATCCTGTTATTTCATTTAGCGCCACCATGAGGTTGACATTTGTGGTTTTAAGTCAAATGCCTCCAAAGCTATTGAATAGATAGCCATGTTATATGATTCAAACATTCATGTCATGCTCAAGATTAACTGTAATTAACTGAAAACTTTGTTGATCCCCTGACATTTCATCTAGCGCCCTTATTAGGTCAAAGTTTTAAAACTAAAACTAATGGCATTCCCTTCAGCCGCTGCTGTACATGCTAACACACTAAACTAACAGGGTCAAAATTTTACCAGCTAAAAACAAGCATGTAAGCACTGTCACTGTTGCTGCTGCTGCTATTAGCAGTTGACTCAAAGCACTTCTGTGTCTAGGTCTGCCCCACAGAGCTGCTAGATGAATCATATATTTCAGTACAGACTACACGAAAAGCTAACTTTAGCAACAAAAGTAGAATACGCAAGTTTTAGCTCCAATTGCCTACTGAGGATAAAAACCTCTCTGTCTCCGTTTGTTCTTAATACAGCTCTTCCTGATAGAGAGGATGGGTCGACGGACGCTCCACATGCTAGGACTTGGTGGGATGTGCATCTGTGCCATCATCATGACCATGGCTCTTGCTTTATTGGTCAGTCTTCCAAAGATGTCCGTATCCTGTAGTGTTCTGGATATTTTACCTACAAAACTCTGAAACCTTTTTTTCCTCCCGCCTAACAGGACAGTGTTCCTTGGATGAGCTACATCAGCATGCTTTCCATCTTTGGCTTTGTGGCCTTCTTTGAGATTGGTCCAGGTCCCATCCCCTGGTTCTTTGTAGCTGAGCTGTTCTCTCAGGGTCCAAGGCCAGCTGCCATGGCTGTGGCGGCTTCTCCAACTGGACAGCCAACTTTATCATCGGCATGTCCTTCCAATATGTTGCTGTGAGTATTTTTTAACTTCAGTAGATGTTGTGGATGTTCTACTCAATAAGTAGCCCAAACATGATGCTCCCTGTCTCATGTTTGTTTAATCTGATCTCATCCTTCCCTAGGACCTTTGTGGGCCATACGTCTTCCTGATCTTCGCAGCACTCCTCCTCTTCTTCCTCATCTTTACATTCTTCCGGGTGCCAGAGACCCGGGGCAAGACCTTCGACCAGATCTCAGTAAGCTTCCAACAGCGCTCAGTGGGAGGAATGATGGACATGGACATGGACCTGGACAAGCCCAGCACTGAGATGGACTTCTTAGGGGAGGAAATCATCAACTGAAGTGTCCCTGCCTGAAGAGAGATGGAACTGAGTACAGCTTGGGATGAACTGTGTTTATGGGACTGCAAACTTTTATTTTCTGACATGTACCGTACTGTGCAAAAGTTTTAGGCAGGTGCTGAAAAACTGCTGTAAAATAAGAATGCCTTCAAATATAGACATGTTAATAGAACATTTATAAATTAACAAAATGCAGTGTGAATGAACAAAAGACAAATCTAAAACACATAAATTTTTGACATGACCACCATGCCTTTAAAACATCAACAAGCATCAATTCTTCTAGGTACACTTGCACAAAGTCACTGTTTTTGCAGGCATATCGTCAGGGTTATGATCAAACAATTATACCAAAAAGGTACTAATGATCACTTGTTCAATACGCAGTGGTCGGCCAAAAAATCTTACTGCAGCAGATGACAGAAACATCATGCTTACTTCCCTTCCCAATCGGAAGGTGTCCAGCAGTGCAATCCGCTCAGAGCTGCAGAAAACAGTTGGACCCTGGTACACATATCTACTGTCTGGAGATGTCTAGTCAGAAGTGGCCTTCAAGGAAGTCTTACAGCCAAAAGGCCATACCTCCGATATGGAAACAAGGCCAACTCACTCAACTATGCACGGAAACACAGGAGCTAGGGTTCAAAGAAATGGCAGCAGGTTTTCTGGACTGATGAGTCAAAATGTAAAATATTTGGCTGCAGCAGAAAGCACTTTTTTTCCGAAAGCAGTACAAGAATCAGTATCTTCAGGCAACAGTGAAGCAGGGAGGAGATTCCTTGCAAATTTGGGGCTGCATTTCTGCAAAGGGAGTTGGAGATTTGGTCAGAATGAATGGTCTCTCCTAAATGCTAAGAAGTACAGGCAGATAATTACTCGTCATGCAATACCATCAGAGAGACATCTGATTGGCCACAAAGTTTACTCTACAGCTCAACAACAACCCCAAACATACAGCATAAGTCATTTAGAACTATCTTCAGCGTAAAAAACAAGGAGTCCTGAAAGTGATGGTGTGGTCACACCAAATGTTGATTTGATTTTTCTTCTTTTCAGTCACTTTGCATTTTGTTAATAAATATAATCTATTGACATTTCTATTTTTTAAAGCATCCTTACTGTACAGCATTCTTTTTTTCACACCCACCTAAAACATTTGCACAGTACTGTATATTGAGGTCAGTTGTTGTATTCATATAGCATGTGGTGCCGAAGCAGTGTTGAAGGTGTGTTGTGGAATTATCCATTGCTGGTACCACTACAATATGAGATTAGTGGTTACAAATTGAGCCTTGACAAAAGGCAAAAAAAACCTATGAAGTAAGAGTCGACTACTGTAGTTTCAAGGAATAAGATGCACATAAGAACAAAGCGTTTGGACTGTTCAGGCATTGACTGCCAATATGGTCTGTATTTATTCCATAATGATGCACTCAGTTGCAATATTGACAGACAAGAGGTGGCGAGACTTTGGAATTCCTGCACTTTATCTAAAAAGACATCCAGAGTTTGCAGTTTGGAGGTTAAAAAAAAAAAAAAAAAACTAGTATAAAACAGCCACTGAGCTAAGTATACTTGCCTATTTTGTACTAAAGCTGGGAACACGCTAGGTGTAAATCCAACTGATTGAAACACATTTAACTGAGATTTAAGTCAGACTAGCATACAGCATTCATATTTTTACCATTAACTTCAACTACAGGATCATGCTCTTAAAGTTGTAAAAGTGATACAGTTGTAATGTGTTTAACGCAAGGTTAAGTACCCAACGCTAACAGTAACTGACATGGTGTCCCTCTAATTTACCCGGACTATTAAAGCTTTCAGACAAAAGAGAGCCTCAAAGTCTTCATTACCAAACTGGCCTTGTCATGTAGTGTGTTCCCAGCTAAAGCTAGCAGAGTTTTTTTTGACCATTGCACAACCTGCAGAAAAGTTACTTTTAAAGAAACAAAATCTAGTTTAGTACTTCATGTTTATATGGTGTGTATTGAGGGTCAAAGGGTTTCTATTCTTGTACTCCAGTAGCCGTTTGGTTTAGTAAACAGAAGTCCAACACACTAGAGCAAGATGTGCAATCAAAAGGGCTTCTTTTTTAAAACCACAGGAATTGTTTGTGTATTTTTCTTGGCGTCTCATGTGTGCTGTTTGCCGTCTATTCTTTAAAAAGGAGTGTATCACTACCTTCTGGAGATTTGTATTGAGGATGTTCAGAGAGGACCTGTAATATGTGTAGAGTCGATGTTGGTGCTGTGGTCATGTGACTAAAAGGATGCAGAGACTAAATAATGTTACTGAAAAACACCTGAGAATGCTTCCATTCATTTGTAATTAATACAAATACGGTCAAAAAGCAGTCTTCTAATCAGCAGTCATCGTCAGACGTGAAGAAATATGGACTGAAACCTCATTTCAGTTTTGCAAACATTTATTAATTAGCATTTTAAGTACTGACATTGCACATAATCCCCTCCAAAGAAAAGCACACAAATAAGTAAAACAAAAGTTTTTTTTCAGCAATCTATCCTCAACTGAGGAGACAAAGGGAGTAGTATGAATTTACTGAGGTGATAACAGAACTAAACTGACTCCCATAATGCACCACCAACCTCACACTTGCTTGGTTTTCCCCCTCTTCAACCAAATTAAAAAAGTTGAACAAAAATCAAGGCTGATTCCTCTATAAACTACTTGATGAGTCCCATCTAGGAAATTAAAGACAAAACATTTACAGGGGGGTTGGAATAACTGGGCTACCAAGCAGATTGTCCATTCTTTCCTGTTTTTTCCTTTAAAGATGTACTTATAATTTCTAAAAATGCACCCACCACCCATCTGTATCCCCTTCTTCCCTACCTCATCCCTCTCCAAACATCAGTGTCTAGACAGGACAACACAAGATGAGAGGGGAGCGGGCAAGAGGGACAACAGGACGGGGTGGGTTGGAGGATGGGGAGGGGGGGGGAGCAGTGCATGTGTTCTGAAATAGGTCCAGTCCTCCAACCCTAGGACCTACAAGAACAAAAGACAAAATGAGGAAAATAAAAATGCAAGGGAGACACAGGGATTGAGAGAGACGAACCGCACAGAAACAAAAGAAATCGCACGTCTAATCCTGAAAAAGGGATTATTAATCTGAAATCCAGGTCCCTAGAGTTCGAGCTTTCACTTAACTTGTTCCCTGTATTTAAACAAAAGACTCCAAGCGTAAGGGGACAAGTCCTTGAAGACTCTGCATACAAATCTTGTCATCTCTTTAATGCACCTCACTCAACAGCTCATTAATGTCCATCACTTGCCCTCTGTGACAGCCAACCTGTAGCCCAAGAAGTGCAATGCTACACCCCCACGTCTCCCACCCGCGCTTGACCACTTCAGTGTGGGGTCCCACCTCTTGCCAAGGGTCACGTGACTGTCCTCTCTCTAGAGTCACTCTGTTGGTGCCGGGACCATTGTGGCAGCTGCCTGGTGTGGGGAGAGGGGCAGTTGAGACACTCGTGTCAACAGCAACAAATCAGGTTAAAATAAATAAAACCAAACAGTAGAAGATGGCAGTTTTAGTACCTTACCTCGGGTGATTTCGATGTTTTAGGAGAGGTTTTGGGGGAGCCCTTTGGTGATTTTGACGTGGATTTAAGGTCAGCTGGTTTTGAGGTCGGAGGGGGGGTACCAGGCTCTGATGCAGACCTCTCTGTATCGTTCTGCAAGTTATATGTGCAAGTGTATCAATAGTAAACCATGACAGTGAGCACAACATACTTGCCATCTTATATTCATGAGCACTCTGGGCAGTATTTCCTGGCTACCTATATCAGACCACTGACATCACATCCTGTTTCAGGGCTGCAACTTTGTTAGACTTCAGGTAAGCTGGACAGTATAATATAATCCATCTCCAAATGAAAGATAACAAAACCTCAAGATAGTCTGCACTTTGTGTCTTGAGTTGTATTTGGGAAGTGGCCCAAGTAGCTGTCATCTGTCACTCATGGAGCACCTGATGCAGTTTACCAACCACAAATGATAATCACACTCACTTTCAAGGTAGAGGATTCAGAGTTCCTTTGCCTGCGGCGTCTAGACTGGCGGCGAGGTTTCTGGCCCTCTGCTACTTCTCCGTTGGTGGGGGGGCCCTCGGATGCCTCCGTCTGCTTCACCCCGCTTTGCTCCTGGCTCTCTTCTGAAGCAGCCTGCTGGTCGTCTGCAGCCTGATCAGGAGGCGGGCGAGGGCGGAACGGTCTGTGAATCCCAAGGCACAGGAAATCAGCTCCGCATTTGTGTAATTTAGGAGCAGAAATATGAGCACAAAATATAGGCGATGTCATGTCACCTGCGGTATGGGCGCCAGAATCTACGCTGTGGCTGCCGTTGCGTTTGGTCGCCCTCTGCTACGTCGTTCTTTTGCTCTGCTGCCTCACCCTTACAGATAAAGCGGACAAATCAAAGCTTCAAACTTCAGAAAGGTTGCCCGAGTGTTTAAATCTTCCAAATGACCACTACGTACAGTGTTATACAGCAACTTTTTCAAAATCCAAAACATGCTTCAGTCTTATTTAACTCTGGGTTCTAGTGAATCACCCCCTCTCAAACTTCCTTTCACTCCATCTCAGGTAAATACAGTGAAGGCCGTTTCCCTTCCTTCTTCAGCTTACTTCTTGTGCATCCGGTCGTGGTCTGCGGGGCCTACGGCGCCGCTGCGGAGGTCTCGTTCCACCATTCTCCCCTTCGCCCTCGCCCTCAGCAGCTGGGGCTTCGCCATCAGCTGGTTTGCCCTGTTCACCAGGCCTAGGGCTGCGGGGGAAGAACCGCCGACGGAAGCGGCGTTTGTTGGGTGCGTAGCGGCTGCCTTTGACTGGAACGCCGCCTGGACCGGTTACATTGGCTGCTTCTGAGCCCTGAGAGACACCAAAGAGGAGCAGGAATGAGAAATATAAAACTAGCAGACAACTGTTATACAACACAACACTATCGAATCAACTCTGATTCTTACCTTGGTTGCTTCAATCACGTCAAACTCTACGACCTCCCCATCTCCCACACTGCGGAGGAATTTCCTAGGATTGTTCTTCTTGATAGCAGTCTGAGGAGCCAAATTTATCATCAGAGTTCAAACAACACATAAAAACATTAATTCAAGAAGACTCCCTTTGCCTTACCTGGTGAACAAACACATCTTCTTTAGTGTCATTCCTGTACCAAATTAAAACCTGGTTAGCAAAATTGACCCATGGGGCTATGAATTAGATTTAATTAGAATATTAACACTGAAACACTTCAAAATGTACTAAAATTGCAGTGATGAAAGTAATGTAGAGGAAATGCAGTACCTGTTTATGAAGCCATATCCATTCCGCACATTGAACCATTTCACTGTGCCTTGGACCAAGGTGGCTACAACAAGTAGCACATGATTAAATGTGTATCCCAGTAACATTTCACATAGAGATACATTGTTTTACAGCCCTTCAAAGAACACAATACACTGTTATCATGCTTATATCCATGGCAGCCTTGCTTACAACAAGAAATGGGAGCTCAGGGTGTCAATCATTAAACAGTAAGACTTTGAAACCAGGTCAAGAGGGAGGGCTGCTAAACAGCAAGGCTGTGTGTTCCTCATGTCAAAATCAAGACAAAAAAAGAAAAGAAAAAAAAAGTCGCCCCCGTGAGAACAAGCGGCGACCGGTTTCGTTTGAAAACCACCTAATCGCGTGTAATTGCCACGTTAACTTCTCAGTAAAATGATTTGCACCTGTGAGGGCACGCGCGCGCACGTCCAGGTTGGACCGCGCGACAGCTGATAAAGAGGGATTTTAGGTCATGTGTTCATACTGTTAACAGAAACTTAAAAACACACATAGTCTGGCTTCATTGTTTTCCCTTATTAATACAGACTAAACAAGAAGGAAGCTGCCAAAGTGTATAAATGTAGAACCAGACTATTTTGGGATTAACTATATATTAAACTCCCCCCCCCCCGCTAGTTAAAGCTCTTTAGCGATATTTGGCTTCAAATTATATGTTCGTATGAATAATTTCCTGTGTAACAACATTTAATAAAAATGTGGACACGTGCTGCTCCTAAAAACGAAAAACACCGCGGTCTCAAAGACAGAAATGACTAACCGTTAATTTACTGATTTAGCTTAAGTGGAACCACTTTGCTGAAGCTGACACCCAACATATTTAACACACATGAAAAGCTTGTTTTCACATTAGTGTGTCATCAATGCGCACAAACTTTAAGGGGTCTGTTTATTTCACTCATTTCCACAAGATGCACTTAAAATAAAACTATATTTGGTCGCTTTTAAAAAGATTCCTGGCGGACTAACCACACGCATGTGTGCACCATAATCACTTTCTACACTCACCTATGACTTTCCTCTCAGGCTGTGGCTTGTCTTCCACAGGTGCCGATGGTGGAGCGCTCTGCGCCTCGGCGTCGGTCATGCTCGCTGTCGGATTACTACACTTCCACTCCGGAATCCCCTCCCTCCTGCTCTTCCCGAAACTTTTCTTCTTCTTCTTCTTCTTTGAGGTTTTACGGCAGTTGGCATCCTTGGCGTCGCATTACTGCCTCCTCCTGGATGTTAGTCTTCCTTGATCTCCTCAAATTAGTCCAGCAGCTCTACCAAAACCAAACAGCCATGTTCTGTCTCCACGCTCTAACATACTTTTTACACTAACCTTTACTTTTCACGTTATTTGGTGTCTTTTTTCTACATATTTCCTGCATGTAACTATATATGAGCCACTGTATTTTGTTCATGACACTGATCACAAAGACTTGTTCGATGTCTGGGTAGCTGTGTCCAATTCTCAGTCTGCTTTTTGTGATTTTCCCTACTTATTACCATACCTACTTTTTAAAATTTATTTTAAATTGAGTGTATCCAAAACTGTTGCCACTGGTCATGATCTGGTCCACACTTTGCTTTTCCCCACACTAATTTGAACAGGTTTATTTGACATTTTGGGGTTACAGTAACTATGTCTTTAACTACAGCCCTCAGCAGATAGGTCATAGGACTCCAGTTTCACAGCACTAAATTTAACTCAGCAGCTCACAGAACTGCCAAGTTCAATGAAACCATTCACTGTGCACAGAAGCCATGGGTCTCTGGACGGATAAAAAAGGCTCTAATTAGAAGTGTAATTATTAGCAGCAGAGGGAATTACAGCCAGCGGAGGAGCACTCTGACAGGACGGCAGCACTTTTACTGCGGATTAAAAAATTAATACGTGGATCTCATTTAATAAACGTGTGTTTAGTGAATGGAAATTCCAGATCTATGCCTTGTACTGATGAGAAATGTTTTACTCTTTCACTGAGTCTGTGGCGTAATATGGCTGCAAAACCCAGCTTATTTGGGGAATAAACAATATAAATTAAATGAAAATATTACAAATAATAATAGAGTTTAACAATTTAAAAACGTTCATCATAGAAACCTGTAAAATATATATCTAATATACAAAAATGCGTGGGTCGATCTCCACATTCAGTTGTCGTTGTGTTCATGTTCTTAGAGCTCGATGGGAAGTGAATAACTCCAGAAGAAGAGCAGAGTGGTCCATGCAGCGCTTGAAAAAAAAGCAACGCATGCGCAGCATATGCCACATTGCCGAGCAAATTCGTGGGCATTGGGATGAAAGCAGCATCAAGCCGCTTGAAGTTAGCCAAGACAAGACCGGAAGAGGTGCAACTTCACCTTCAGTGTAAAAGTGTGTGAGCGATGGGAAAGAAGAAATAGCCTCACCTATTTTTCACATTTTAATTATTGGCATGTTAATACATTTAAATATGTTTCAATAAAAAAAATACACTAACCAATTCATCCTATACTGATTTTTTCCACAATATTTAAGAATGTGGGGTGGTGATGGATAAGACTGTGCCTTTGGTGTGAGACACCTGGGTTCAATCCCCCAGTGTGACCCATCCACCATTGTGTCCCTGAGCAAGATACTTAACCCCTAGTTGCTCCAGAGGCGTGCGACCTCTGACATGGATAGCAATTGTAAGTCGCTTTGAATAACAACATCAGCTAATTGAAGAAATGTAAATTAATGTCTTTCCATTCCACCCCTACTTTTGAACACAAATGCGTCAAGGGTATGCCCAAATTAAATGACAATATATTGAACTACTGACTATATGTTTAATACTGTATTCTTGCATAAACAGCTTTTACGGTTTCTTAAGAGACATGCACTTCATGTACTTAAAATATGTAAAGTATAAACATATCCAAAACTATGAGAAGTAGGTCACAATCATAAGAAGCTTTCTGTCAGCTTTATGACAGTTTATGCAAATCAGATGTGCACCTGATAGTGAGAGCTCCCAGTCATCCTCTTCAAATTATGTTGTGTCACATCACACTCCAGAGCATGACTAATGTAATGGCATGGTCAATATTATCATCAAATTTTTGATCATTAGAGCTCTTTTGCAATCACTGCATATTATGTCGGCCAATAAGTAACAAAAAACTTATGTACATAAATGCCAACGATATGTAAAGATAGAACAGTGTCCGTGTTACATAACTGGTCCACAAGAGAGTGCTGACAAGTTTATTTTTCAACTGTACATTATATTTTGTTCCCGATTCTTTAATAATAAGGGTTCCTTATCAAGAACGTTTGTTTATAATATGTTTGTATTATATTATTTGTAACAGATATATTGGCCATTACTCAACACTCTGATGCAACTTTTTTTAAACTCTCAAATGTCTCAGAAATCCAGTATCGATCAGGCTCTATTCACTTGAGTTCAGTGTGCTTTATTGGCATGAATGTTTAATTTAAACAATGTTACCAAAAGCATTTTGCAACAATATCAAAAAAGTGTACATTTAAATATGACATAGCAGATTAATCCAATGAAAACCATTCAATTTAGCAAGTTATAAATTACAAAAAAACAAAAACAGCAAATACAGATAGAATGTAAAATGAACAAGATTTAACCTGCCATGCAGCGAATGTTAAGTGCAATAATTAGCTGAGTCACTTGCTGTCCCTCAGGTTGTGACACAGGGCCACATACTTGGTGGCAAGGATTGCTCTGATTGCTGCAACTTTATTTATTATAAATTACAAAAACAGTCAGATACATACAGAAACAGAACAGGGTCAGAGAGCCAATACATTTCCCATATCACAAAGATGTATGCATAAAAAATCTGCATAATCAAAAATATGCATAAGATTTTCACTTATTTGTTTGTTTTGTTCTTCCCATAGTGTTAGCTATCTGATAAGGATAAAAATCTGGTATTAATAGATGGAACGTCTCAAAATATTAATTAATTCCAGCATACACTGCAGACATGCTTTGAAACTACATTCTAGAATACCATGTAACATCTGCATTCTAGATCTGCATCTAGCATACTATCTGCATTCTAGAATACCATGTAACATCTGCATTCTAGAATACCATGTAACATCTGCATTCTAGAATACCATGTAACATCTGCATTCTAGAATACCATGTAACATCTGCATTCTAGATCTGCATTCTAGAATACCATGTACCATCTGCATTCTAGAATACCATGTAACGTCAGTGCCAAATCCGTGCTGCCTGCTGGATCCCTATCTGCACATGCGCAAAAGTGGTCCTGTCTGTCAAAGAAGGTTACCACAATTTGCCTGTTCATAATTACTCATGTGTTGTTGTCTGTTCTCATCTCAGGACGTCAAATACTGAGGCCTTCAGAAAGGCTGACAAAGCGTTATTTGATCATAGTATTTCGCTTCTTTCTGTGACACCCTGTCTAGACTGGAAGGGCTAGTAGCTTTGTTAGTATAAAAGGCGTTGACAGCTTCCCAAACCCCCTTACCCTTACCGTAACCATCACAGGGGCGTGTGCCTAAACCTAAGTCAGCAATTGCATGCATTGTATGATTGAAAGTTTGTAGTCCCTTCATGCTACACACACAGAACTTAACAGATAACTAAATGTGCATTAAAACATGGTAACATATAAAATAAATCAAATAAAACAATAGGTTATATAACATGTTTTGGAATGTACGTCTGGAGAGTATTTAAGCATTATTAAAATAACATTGTATTGTACATTATGAAATATAACATTACATTCTAGCACAATGTAACAACCTACTGATGTGATCACCTGATGATAATTGCTATCTCCATCACAACTGTGCCAGCTCCTTCCTCTGATGAAAACCATGAGATGAAGTTGAAAGCTCTACAAAAAGCTAGTAAGTGGTTGTTGTTGTTGTTTGTCAGATTTTAGTTTTATAGTAAAAATTATTTTTTTTGCAGGGAAGGCTGTTGTGACTCTATAATAATATTGTAATAACGTATTTTATTCTGACAGTTCCAGCGGGAAGTCGCGTGTTTATATGTGTTGTATGTTCTGACAGTGGCGAGACGCTGGATGAGGGAGAGACAGAGAAGGTGGAGTGTATGGTACAGACAGTAACGTTACAGACATTGCGAGATTCGGGGCTCTGATTCTTCTCGGCCCGGTTGTGTAACTGTTGCCTCTGCACGAGGTGAACCACAATCTGGATCTACAGGAGAAGAGTGGACAGTGGGGACGACGGGAATGAAAGAGGAATCATAAAAAAAGAGATAGCTGATAGCTAAAGAAAAGGGTAGCGACACTGCAAACGAGCAGCCGAGGAGGAGACAGACCCCGTTAGCACGGACACAGGGAGGCAAAGAGGAGGAGGAATTAAAGGGAGAAAGACTGATAAATACCAAGAGAGGAGAGCCATTATCACTAGGGTAAGTTCCTTATCAAAACATCCAATAGACGGGGCGTGTTTGCGCCTGAGCAGATGAGATATCCTTTGCACATGTCTGTCTGAAGCTGTTTTGTGATATATTCCCTTTAAACGCCCCCATGAAGTAGAAGCAGCGGTCTGAGGACCACAGCAGATTGAGCTAACTTCCATCCAAACGGGAGCTTCAGTCTGACTTGAAGCTAAAATGGATTTAACCCCCTCGCCCCCCAATGGCTCGTTAGCCCTTTTTATCGTTTTAAGTTTGCAAATCCTGCGGGACTTGTCTGAATTTCACACTTTTATTGCTTTCACACCACATGCCACCGCCTCTAACTCCGGACACAACATGATTGAACTATCGGATGCGGACTAATCAATGTGCTGGTGCACGCCGCAGCCCTCGCGAGTATTAGCTTAGTCATTACTGTAAGTTACACAAGCGGGACAAAATTCAATTGATTTCCATATCTGTGGCCGTGTGAACGGGCGACGCAGGATTAAAACAACACGGGTTGTTCATATAAAAGTCTACATTAATGTCGCGACAGGCAGGTTGTCATTTTGCGTTGTGTCTTTATCAGACGGGCCTCGGCCTGAGTGCAGTCAGTGCGCATGGATGCGGGGACACCGGCCGCTGTGACCGACAGCGGGCCGCGGTACGGTCTCTAGGCCGCAGTCAGCCTCTTCTGTCCAACACTGCGGACATACTGGACAACCCACTGCCCCGGCGTGTCACTGCCGATATATTTCACTATTTAACGCTTTATGTTGAGTTTACACCGCGAGAGGTGGTTAAATAAGTCACGCTTGCTTGAAATTTGATTTATGGGTCATTAGCGCGGATTAGCGGCCCTGGTTTGACGTTTAACCCGGTGACCACCAGCCGCTCTTAATTGAGCCAAGAAAGCACATAACAAATGTCTTTCATTTGTTTTCCTGAATTATATTTTTTAGGAATATGTTTAATTCTAAGAATATTGCGAGTTAGTCCCTAAAGTTCTTGTTGACTGTCAGTTGTGTTTTAGCCGACTCGTGGCACTACCTGCACACCACGGCTGCTCAAAAAGTTTAACTTAGTAAATTACGCATAGTTTGCCACAAGCACTAATGACTAAAATTGCAGCTTTATATTTGACTCAAATTATAACTTTTAATTTGAGACAATTTTATAATTACTTTGTAACGTTCCAGTAGGACTGGGCCTGGTTTGGCTGACAGGTGCCATGTTTCTGTTGCTTTATTTAGCCCTGTCTGTCAGCCCGCTGCTCAGCAGCAATAAATGAAAGTGTCCTCTCCACACCCCCACGTTTTAAGTGGTATCACCAGCCAACTCTCACATTTCCATCTTTTTCTGCTGACATATTGACAGATATTCACCAGGCAGCACTGGCTGCTTTTCTTTACTCATGGACCAACTTACATAAAAACTAAGTACTCTGTTGAAATTTAAGTGCACATCCAGTGTGTGTACCACATAAAGTTGGGCCTGACCTGACATTAAACAGTTTTATCAGCCCATGTAAACATAAGTGAAGAGAGTGTGAATATAATCATTAGATCAAACAATACAATACAATATGTTTTACAATATTTACTGTGTGGTTGTTAAATCTATATTTAAATTAATTGTGATATGTCTGGGTATTGAATCCTGAATTATTTTTCGATACCGTTGCAGTGTTTCAAAAACTGTCAAGTTGGAATTGAATGTCAGATTTGTAGTCTTGTTAACTTATCCTTAAATCAGTTATTTACAGTTTTGTAATCACAATTTTATTCTCAGATGGTTGTTTGTGTTTAGACAGCATTTAAGGTGTGAGAACTTCTGCTTTTTTTGTTTAATGAAAAAAAGAACTTCATAGAAAAACATGTTTATATTTCTCATAATAGGTTATGGAAAAAGTATTGTGTTGGCGTCATACCAAAATAAAGGTCCTATCCACACTAGTATCAAGATACCCAGTCTTAGTAAAAATGTTTTAAAAAAATACTGTGAATGCTATTATTTTCCTGAATCACTTATTAACACATATATTAACGTCGGCATCACATGTTTTGGCCTCCCGCAGCAGGCATGGCAGATGCAGAGCTGGACTTCCAGACAGGTGATGCTGGGGCATCCACTACCATCCCCATGCAGTGCTCGGCCCTGCGTAAAAATGGCTTTGTTGTGCTGAAAGGCCGACCCTGCAAGATCGTCGAGATGTCCACCTCCAAGACCGGCAAGCACGGCCACGCTAAGGTCAGAGAGTCCTGAGGTGCTGTGACACTGGTGGCCAAATTTAAGCAGCAAAATGTTTTCAAGCTAACGAAGCTAAAGGTCATTTTTGCAGGGACTCCAACAAATAACTGAAATGTCAAAATAGTTGAGACAACAGTTTTTTTCCAATGTGGACTCACTTTACCCATGAGGGAGATTACAGACTTGTGACCATGAATTATAACTCTCCTATCTATCCATTTATCTCTGGAATAAACACAAAGTCATGGTCATTAATATTAATATTAATGCACAATAATGGACTTTCAGTCTGTTCAAGAACAATAACGTGCGCCCCTTGGGGTTAAAGTTTACATTATTGAAACAATATGCAGTATTTGGGATAGCAAATGTATTATAAATGATGTTTAAACGTTATACACGTGGCATACTTATTCATGGCCAATTACCCTTTTTTAAAGGATAGCAACACTTCAGTTAGAAAGCTGATAGTTCCTTATTTTCTGTGGGATTTGTGCTCGTGTAGGTCCACTTGGTTGGTATCGACATCTTCTCTGGTAAGAAGTATGAAGATATCTGCCCTTCCACCCACAACATGGACGTCCCCAACATCAAGAGAATTGATTATCAGGTGAGACCGCTGGAGGACTGAATTGAGGTCCTGAGTTGATGTTACAGTAGCTTGTTATGTAGCATATTGTACAGTATGACCTGTACCTGTGAGTCTGTTTCATACTAGCAGTCACATTTGACCAGGTGAACACCTTACACACTCCCAAGTGAGTTTTTTCTTAGTAAAAAGTCAGATTATGTGACATTACTTTCCTCAAAGCTTGGTCTGGAGGCACTCAAAACCACTGAATCGACACTAGGGCTGCCTCCTTTTTGTAAGTAAGTAATTTTGAGTTGATGACTGATTTTTGTAATGGTCTGCGGAGGGAGAATGAGTTGAGTGAATAGTCACGTCTCTGTTATCACAGCAATATACACAAATATGCTTTGGTCTTTAATAAGCAACATAGTTTCAGAGGCTGCTGGGGCACAATAAGCGGTTATTTGAAAAAGACCCATGATTATTACTCACCTAAGAATCTCTTTAGTGAGAACAGCTTTGCAGACAAAACACACAAAGAAAGAAAGAGAAACAACTAGTACTGATGTCAGAGAACAATCCTGGTAACTTTTTAAAATTGTACGGTTTATCTATAAATGACTGTTAGAAACACACATTTAGTCTGGTGCAGCAGAACACATGAAGGGAGCTTAGTGTCTTTCAGCTCCTTGTTTTGCTACCATTGTGTTTCAGTCTCGCAGCTCTCGTCAGCGTCGTTTTCAGCTGAAAAGCTCCGATAAATCTACCGTGTGCTACCTGCCCAGCAATGAGACAGACAAAGTTAGCGACTTGCTGGTGAACATAGTGGAGAATTTTGCAGCAAAAGTCAGTTAATGCAGGTTTTACCACCTCCGAACTTCTGTAATTTCACCTCAAACTCGTCGTGTAATTTATAGGGAACGATACAAATGAATTTCATATTTCAGAAACGTCTAAGCAGGCCCGCTTCCTCCTGATTACGTTCTATTTGTGGAAAGACTGCAAACCTGATATGTTACACATCTGATCAAACCGGTTGGGTTAAAACATGTTCAGTGTAGTGGAATGGCCACAGCTCGCCAGACTGAAGAGCAAATAGTGTAGGGTTTCCTGTAGAGGTGAAACCATGCAGCCTCAGGCTCCTGTACCTTCATGTCAGGATAACTCTTTGAAGTACAATAGGGGAAACAGTTCCTAATGATGCTGGGCTATATGTCATGTAAATAATTCAAACTGAAATGTTTGTGCATGAAATAAACTTGCTTGTGCATTAAGAGTATGAATCACACGTGCATACTTAGAAACCACCGGTAAGTTCAGTGCACATACATTGTATAAAAGAAATAAAGAACAGAAAGAGGAAAAAAATAACGATGCATGGATCAAAATAATGTTTTCCATTGTTCCCCTCTCCCAGCTGATTGGGATCCAAGAAGGCTACCTGTCCCTGCTCCAGGACAGCGGGGAGCTGAGAGAGGACCTGAAGATTCCTGAGGGGGACCTGGGCAAGGAGATAGAGAGCAAGTACGACGCCGGAGAGGAGATCCTGGTCAGTGCTTCACCTCACGTCACACTGCATTTTTCTGAAACAAATGTGACAATGTCAGATGTTTGTATTAAAACATGGCCGAAGTTTCAAATGATGAGACATAGGTATGTAAAATGAATCCCTGTGAGTCAAAAGCTCAGGCTTCAGACTGCTTTTGTTTTTTTCTACTTTTGCGACAACCTGATGTCAGATCGTTAGATTTCTTTATATGGTCATCTGCTCCAGACACAGCAAGCCCAAGTGACACGTTTATTCCCAGCCAAAAGCCTGTTAAACTTTGACCTTCTTGGTAAGTGTGTGTACACGTTCTCGCAAAACAGTCGACACGACTAAAGTACTTCAGCGTACTATAACCAACGTTGCAGGGAGATACCGTACAGTCGTTTGGCGACAGCAGAATAACATTTTACCAGCTACGTTACCTTTGTTATTTCCTGACAGCAGATGTTTTCCACTTTCCACCGTAATGTCACACAATAAGTAGGTAATGAGCGTTAATATTTACCAAATTGAGACGTCCTGCTGTAATCTTTATTTAGCTCTTCATTCGTATTCTGGATCAGAGTCGGCCTTGAAGATTGAAGTTGCCATTTCCAATCAAGAATGAGAAATTATGTTACTCACACACTCGCAAGTAGGGTAGAGTATCGAGAACCGGTTCCATAATGGACCTGCTACGCTGACCTAACGTCTTGTCATTTGTTATTCATTATGTCAACAAGGCATGCGAGAAGAGAGCACTGCTGTTTACAGTCCTGGACCATGGCGGACCGCAGCAGACGCTCAAAAGTTTGGCTTAGCTTCGCTAAAAAAGATAACAACACAGCAAAATGCAACACCTGCAGTAAGGAAATTTGGTGCAAGGGAGGAAGCAGCTCCAGTATGATGAAGCATTCACTTCAACACGGCGTGAATCTGAAGGAATGTGTGTTCAATGTGTTGTACTCTCCCAGCTACAATGACACCCCAGATACAGCTAACGCTAACAGTGGCAATGTCTCACATTCAGGTACAAAACACAGGTGAACTTACATTCACCTTTTATATTGAAGGTAAACAAATGATTTCTACAAATTATGCCAATATATATTTTTCTTAGATACGAGTGCACAGAGGGCAGCACGGTGGTGCAGTGGTTAGCACAGTTGCCTCACAGCAAGACGGTCGTGGGCCTTTCTGTGTGGAGTTTGCATGTTCTCCCTGTGTCTGTGTGGGTTCTCTCTGGGTGCTCCGGCTTCCTCCCACCATCCAAAGACATGCGGACTAGGTTGATTGGTTACCCTAAATTGTCCTTAGGTGTGAGTGTGAGCGTGAGTGGTTGTTTGTCTATGTGTGGCCCTGCGATGGACTGGCGACCTGTCCAGGGTGTACCCTGCCTTTCGTCCAGTGTCAGCTGGGACTGGCTCCAGCCTCCCCGCGACCCTGTACACAGGATAAGCGGTTGACGATGGATGGATGAATGAGTACCCAGAGACGCCCTTCTAAGACAGAGACTCCTTTTACTTTAGCCACGAAGGGAAAGAGGAGCAAGCAGAAAGTCGGTGAATGTCAGTGAGCGGTGACCAGATTTGTGTTGAAGGTGTTGGAATCAGAACCGAGATTTGATAAGAACTAGATTCGATAAGTATAATCGTAATCTGAATTGATAAAATTGAACGATACCCCCCAGCCCTAATGGCAATAAAATGAGGCTTCCTGGAAGTTGGCCAATCAGAATAAAGGGCATAAAGCTAGTATTAGTCATAAGTCCAGCGTTAATCATGCAAAGCTACTCTAGTGGAGTCTCAAAATAAAAATATAGAGCTGGAAATTAGCATATTAGGCCGCCATTGAATAAGTTGTACAGTACGGTGCAGCTTAGTAAACAGAGGGCAAATTTATTGTTATGCTTTGATTGATTTTGCTGCTTTGTCAGAAAGTTTAATGATTACTTTTAACATAAAAGAAAGAAAGAAATCAAACAGACATGTTTGAAAATTGCCTTGTAGGTCAGATTTGGTCCTTGAGCTTCTGTTTGGCTTTTAACACTTGCGCTTAAGTGATAAAGTGGAGCAAGCAGGAAGAAACCATTTCAGTCAAACCCTCTGTGCTCTTTCAGATCACCGTTCTAAGTGCAATGGATGAAGAAGCTGCAGTTGGTATCAAAGCCCTGGGTAAATAAGCCACTGCAGGTAAATACAGAGCTACAGCTGTAGCAACATGCGCTGTCTTCTCCCCCGCCCCCCCCCACTCCCACCCCACTCAACTACCGCCTGCCTGAAGAGGAGTGTCTGTGTGTATGATGTAAATTACTAAAGTGTGTGTGTTTGGGTCTTACATCACAAGCCACCAGCATGTGCCATGCCTGTGCAAGTGTGTGTGATGTCATGTGCACATACAGTTTATTCTTCATCAGTAGGCAAAGGGGAAGGCAACTCCACTCAATAAGATCCGAGGTTTGATTTTATCTTTGGTGTTAAAATGAATAGGCGAGAGATGTCAATATAAAATGTTACAAGTATGCATACATTTTTCCATATTATTTTGCATATTGACTATTTTGTGTATATATTTGTTTGAACTGGAAAACAGTGATCGAGCTGAAATTGACAGATTTCTAATTGATGAATAATTCAACTAACTTCAGTGTATTCATGCGTGATGAGCTATGCACCTCTGCAGATTTGCCTACCCCTTAATGCACTTTTTGTTTCATGTTAACACTATTACGAGCATTTGTATCATTCAAATGAAAGCGAATGGAATATTGAAATATTGTATTTTGGAGCAAAGTTTTTATTTTTATTTTCTGTGGGTTGAACTTAATTTTACATCCTGGTCGAGCCAGTTACTTCCTGTATCCCCCCACGTCCCTTAAAAACAGCGTGTATTATTGTTGTAACCGTCGGGTCAAACTGTTTAATGCACTTTTCTTTCTTGCACTTTCTCACCTGCAGACTTGTGGGCTGTAGAATGAAGTGTCCACAAAAAAATTGTTTAAAACTGTTGGTTGTGCAATGTTTCCTCTGCCGAGGCTACTTAAAACACTGTCTCATTAAAAAGTTTCTTGTGTGTTTCTTTTATTTCTTCCCCCTCTGACTTTTCTTTCCTCTTCTCATTCCTCCCCCTTGTAATTCTGTTTCAGGGGCAAGCGGGATGCACTGGACCTGGGGAAAAGGAGGGGTCATTGCCTCGTCAATGCTATTCTCCCTCTTGTTTCTTTCTTTTTGTCTTTGTTTTTCATACTCTCCCTCCCTCACTCTGTTTTCTTTGGGTTCAAATATGAAAGACCTTTAATAAATAATTGGAAACTGTAAACATTCTCTATGTATATACACATAATAAAACCAGATCTGAGTCAAGACATACAGATGTAAAAACATGTAGAGGAAGGTCTCGCATTAATGATTGAGTAGGTGTACAAATCATCAGTAGCTGCTTTTGCTGTGGCTTGTTCAGCTTGTGCCATACAGGATTGAATGTCTTTTGTGTACAGCAGTTTTCTTCTGGCGGTTCAAGCCTTTCCTTGTTTAATTTATAACCTGAAACTTCTCTATCAAAGGTTACCAACATGGCACACCAAGGTTCAGTTTCTTTTTGTCTCAAGGAGCTCAAAGTGTCAAAAGGAAACAAAACCCTGCTCAAAGAACGTACAAATTCTCACCTGTTAAAAAGTCCTTCAGCCTCTATTTAAGTGACCCCCAGAGCGGGGCCTTCACACTGAGCCCTTTGCAGAAATGAGTGGCGTATTATTTGGCGTGCTCTCAAACTTTGAGCGAGGCTTCAGGAGGCAGAGAAGTTGTGGCGGTTTGGTATCCTTAACCTACTGTTCATACAGCAAGTCCAAACTGTGCAGAAGGTCTCCATGGCAGAACAAATAAAGATGACACAAACTGTTGGACGCTGGCGTTTGCTTATCGTTTTATTTAGCGACATGAAAGCTTTAAAACAGCAGAGACTTAAACTTAATTTACACTGTAGAGGAGAACAACGCACAACACTGGAAGTTTGTCAGAAAAATTGTCATCTTGTCTTAATTTGTGGTGACCAACCCTAATGGGTCTAATGTGATCAACCAGAAGTCAGCAGCACAATGAAACAGAGTCTGTTATGCCAATGTGTTTCAGCTGCAGTAGTGTTCACATGTGTGCGCGTGTGACCTTAGCAGAGACATGTTTATTTAATCCACTTGCTCTAAATTCTACTACTAAGTGTTGCTGAATATTTACTAGGACAGCAACTAACGATTATTTGGATTGTTGATTAATCTGATGATTATTTCCTCAATTAATCGATTAGTTGTTTGGTCTATAAAATGTCAGAAAATTGTAAAATATGTCGATCAGTGTTTCCCAAAGCCCAAGATGACGTTCTCAAATGTCTTGTTTTGTCCACAACCCAAACATATTCACTTTACTGTCATAGAAGAGTAATGAAACCAGATTAAGATTTTTTTATGAATTTTTTTAAATGATTATCAAAATAGTTAGTGATTAATTTAACAGTTGACAACTAATCGATTATTCTATTAAACGTTGCAGCCCTGATATTGTCCTCTACTCTGTTTGCTATTTCTCTGCGGAGGCACTGAACCCTCCAATGATGTTGAAATTAAGAATATTAGTTTATAAAGAATAAGCTCTGGTTCATGCAGCTTTGCTCTGTACAAGATATCAACATTTCAGTGCACGTGTGCACCTCCAAAATCACTATACAGTGTAAATAAAATAATAATCTATTTTACAAATTAACATCATTTGAAGTTATGTAAAAAATCAAAGTTGACTGTTTACAAAAGCACATAAGCATGAGGACAAAGTCAAAACAAGATGCTTTACAGGAAATAAAAACACAGATCATATGGCATAATCCGGCCTAATCACTTTGTCTGAAGAAGTCGAGCCACGTCCTCGTCCGAAAGGTTCTACAGGATCTTGAGTGAAGCTGTGAAATCTCAGCCGCGGTGAAGGTGAAGGTGGCCGCGAGTTACTTGCCATGGTGGTAGAACCTCTGCCCACTCTGGCTGTGGGGGAGGAAGCCGTGGCGAGGAGCACTCTGGGGAGAGCTCTGGAACGGGGACTGACGATGAAAAACAACGGTCAGAGTTCGCTGCTAAAATTATTTTCTCAGACTAAAGATTTAAGAAGCATTTTTACAATAAAAGGTTTGTAATTAATGTAATATAGCAAAACCAGGGCAGGGAGCAGCTCTATGACAACACATTATAATCTCATACTCTGATTGGATGCACTAACGTTAAAATGTTAGACCTAGGCTCAACCCCTGTGAAGCTGTAATGCTGCATGATGCACCACAAAGCTAAACTGTTGGATGTCTAAAAACATGCACACCCGTGTCACAGGCTCAGTAATGGAGTGTGTTTCGGGGATTCACCTTTGCAGTGGGAATCGGGACCGCCATCGATGGTGTGGGCAGCAGTCCTGGAGCAGAAGGATGCATGGCTGGTGGATGCATGGGCCTTAAGGCGCCCTGTGAGAACATCGAGACAAAGAACTAAAAAATGTGCGATCAGATAAGGAAGCGATGCCTTGAACGGAGGTTATGCTCGCTGCTTCCACCATGTAGACATCCGGGCGTGTTTGGAAATGTTTGCGTCTAAACAATTATTGTTTTTATTTTCTGTCTGATACATCCAAATTAGATATAGATTATTATTATGGGGTGGTGATGGTGCGGTGGATAAGACACGTGCCTTTGGTGCGAGAGACTCGAGTTCAAATCCACAGTGAGACACCATTGTGTCCCTGAGCAAAACACTTAACCCCTAGTTGCTCCAGTGACCTCTGACATATATAGCAACTGTAAGTAGCTTTGGATAAAAGCGACATTAGCGTATCAAAATGCTCAATTTATGAAAGCTTGTGATGAAGACTGATACATTTTAGTGTTTTATGTTCAGCAAGATTACCCTAAAGCATCTACATTTTAAATGATCTTACTGCGTCGGTAAAGCCTGACTGTTGGTTGGCATGTTCCAGCTGCTTCTGGAGGGGTATTCCTGCTCCAGGAATGTATCCTGCACAAGATACAGAGATGACAATTTATCATCCAATGACCATTTACATCAAACAAACCATGCTGCATTTCATTTCAGCTATGGTTGACTGTTATTAAGAAGTCTCTGGGAGGGAAACAAGGACGATGACAACAGAGGAACTGACCTGGCTGGGAGGTGAAATGACTGTGGACGGGGTAGCCAGGCTGGGGGAGGTACTGCATGGCTTGAAACGCAGACGCACCTGTGGGAGAAGAAAACTTATTCTTGCTACAACCACAACATCCCACTTTCATGTGGTTCAAACTGTTGATCTGAGTAATCCACAACAAACACAAAGGACAATGGAAGCCAGATGAAAAGTCTTTTGACCTAGGGAATTAATTTTCAGATTACAAAACTCATTCAGAACTGTATGCACTATATTACTGAAATGAAATTATTTCATGTTTTCCTATATCCCAGGTCACCAGGTATATCTCTGCCACTTAAACAGACACATGTCCTTTACCTCTGATCTGAGAGCTGCTTGGGAAACTGACAGGTACAGATGGTCCAGGGGCGTAGGTAGAGGGATGCTGGGCCTGAGCGACCCCGTAGGGCTCATGGACCCCCTGGCTGCCACTGAACTGCCCGTGCTCTGCTGAGCCCGAGCTGAACCCAGATGTCTGATAGTGACGTGCCTAGAAGAGGAGGAGGCGTAAGCAGTTTAATATGCTATACTGGTGTCGACATTTCCCTCTCTTAAAGCACATCAGTATCTCCTAAAAGACCCAGATTAAATGGTATAAAGCTGGCAAAATCAAATAGACGTCAGATATTTTCATGAAAATCCCCTTTACTCACTGGAATCACAGTAGCTGGGAATAGCTGTTTGCTACGTTCTCCAAGCAGCGCACCAGGTCGACTGTGGCTGACTGGATTGCCTGAGAGAGGCAAGGAGAAGGATCAATTGGCTAATACTAATCATTTCAGGAGGACATTGACAACTTTCCTGATAACCCAGACAAGGTCAGGCATGCTTGAAAACTGCCTTACCTTGAATGCTGAGGAGGTGCTGCCCTGCATGCATGGGAAGGCTGGATTGGTAGCTGGCTGAAGTCAATGTTGTGATGTCACTATAAAGGACGGGAAGCACAAACATGCAACTGAATACCAAAAATACTTAGACCTAAACTTCTGGGCTTAATAATGTAATTTCTGTCATACCTTTTGTGAACTGAATTAGAAAACAAAAGCGCTGTTATCCTTACTACCTCTGCTCCTTTCTGCGCCTCTTTTCTTCTTCATGAAGTACTTTCTTAAGTTGTAAGAAGAGCTGGTGTTTCTCTTCTTGGAGCCCCTGAAGTTTCTCCCCCATCTTCATTACCTGAAGTTTAAAAGACAACATGTTGCCATATATTAAGCGCTGTGTTATATGTCCCAACACTGAGGTAAGACGACAAAGCCATCTGGAGTATAGTAAGTGTTTTTAGCACTTTTCCAACCTGTTCTTTAGTTTCCTCCAAAGACATCCTCTCCTCTATTTCTTTTGTCCTCTTCCTCTCTTCCTCCTCCTTCATCTTCTGCTCCATCATTTTGTCCACCTCCTCCTCCTCTGAAAAATGGTATTCATGTTCAGTAGTGGAAAACACATTCAAATACCTTACTTAAAAAAACAAAAGCAACAATGCAGAACAACAATGTAGAATATTTCTCAATGAGTAAGTATTATTAGAAATAAAATCTACTTAGGTATAAAAAGGTTCTCATTCTGCAGGGCCTTCAGAGAGTAAACTGTTAATTTTATATATATATATATATATATATATATATATCTTAGAGTACAGTTAATAAGGCACTCCACAAATCTTAATCTAGTCTTGTTTTAGGGTTGTGAAGTTGTCTGCAGCATTTCTCGTAGCTGCTTACATACCTTATACTCACAAGGAACTGCTCTATCACTAACCTTTCTGCAACTTCTCTTCATGTCTCTGACCACTCCTTCATATCCTACTCCCCTCCCCTCTCTCAAACCTCTCTCCTCTACGCGTACTGCCACCTATCCGCCGCAACCTTCGCCCCCGTCTCCCTCCTCTCTTGCCTCATCTGTCCGATCAGCTCTCCCCTCACCTGACTCTCTCTCACTCATGCCTCCCGACTCTGCCACGGACACTCTCCTCTCCTCTTTGTCCTCTTCCCTGGCCTCTCTGTGTCCTCTCACCTCTCGGCAGGCTCGCCCGACCCCTCCAGCTCCGTGGTTGTCTGACTCACTGCGTGCTGACAGAACCACCCTACGGGCAACTGAAAGAAAATGGTGGAAATCCAAGCACTCTGAGGACGTCCTTGCCTGTCAATCTCTTCTCTCCTCTTTCTCCGTCTCCTTA